TCGTCTGATTAGGTCACTAGTCGAGTTAGATGCCAGCTTCAACAACTTGACTTCTTTGCCTGCAAACATCGGATACGGATTACTCAATCTCGAAAGGCTATCAATCCAGCTGAACAAAATCCGTTTCTTCCCCAATTCCATGTGTGAGATGCGTTCTCTAAGGTATATAGACGCACACATGAACGAAATCCACGGCCTTCCAATCGCTATAGGGAGACTCACAAGCCTTGAAGTCATGAACTTGAGCAGCAACTTCAGCGACTTGACCGAACTTCCTGACACAATCTCAGATTTAGCTAACTTGAGGGAGCTAGATCTCAGCAACAACCAGATCAGAGTCTTGCCTAACTCGTTTTTCAGATTGGAGAAGCTGGAGAAACTGAACTTGGACCAGAACCCATTGGAGTTTCCTCCACAAGAGATGGTTAACCAAAGCGCTGAAGCCGTTCGAGAGTTCATGAGGAAGAGATGGGAAGAGATGGTAGAGGAAGAGCAATTGAGGAGTGTGATTGAAGCTGAAAAGCAACGAGGAGCAACAGGTTGGCTCTCATGGGGAAGCTCCATTGTTACTAGCCTTTTTTCTGGAGGTACTCATGGTGGTGCAGCTAAGAAGCCTAAAGACTCATTTTTGGATGAACAACTCTGAATTTTTTAAATTCTTTTGTTGGCTTTGCTATATCTAGCTTTGATTTTAGTAGAAAGAGTCTGTACTCTGTAGTTTTGGGCGTTAAGACTTTACTGTCTCTAAATGGGCCCTTAATAACCAATCTTAAGCCCATTTCCGGATTATGTTTGGTTACATTAATAATGAGCCCTTTAATGTGCCTATCCTATCGCCTAGGGGTGGGCTTTTAAACCGAACCGAATGTATCGAACCGAAACCGAAGCAAAAAAAAACCGAACCGAAAATTTGAAAATAACCAAATGGATACTAAATTTGATAACCGAAATAACCGTAACCGAATCGGTACCGAACCGAAATATTTCGGGTAATCGAAATACCCGAAATACAATTATATTTTCAAAATAATTAGTTATTTATAGACCAAATAATCAAAAATACTTGAAAAATCTATAAAATAGTAAAAATACTCAAAAATAACTGAAAAATATCCAAAAATATTCGAAAATACTCAAAAATAACCGAAATATCCGAAAATATCTTAAGCAAAATAACCGAATAGATACTAAATTTTAAAACCGAAAGAACCGGAACCAAACTGAAACCGAACCGAAATTTCAAAATATTCGAATGGATACTAAATTTTAGAACCGAAAGAACCGAAAACCGAATGGACCCAACCGATAACCGAACGGATAACCGAAAGTCCAGGCCTACTATCGCCTATGAATATTTTACGAAGAAAAAAAGATAAAATATGAGAGAAATGGTTTTGTGAAGAACGTTTTTTCCTTAAAGGGTATAGTCCTATCAAATCTCGGATGAACACATATAACTAGAAGAAAAAAAATTGAACATTCAATAATTTAGTTACAAGTGTAATAAAAAATTATAGAGGCATATAGGTTAAAAATAAAAAATTAAATTTATTCCAAAGACACTTGTGGGACAAAAGCTGTAGAAGAACATCTAGTTACAGAAAAAAGGAATGATGGATCTTGGGACTAGGGTTTCTAAATTAATGCACCAATAATATATAATAAAATTAAGAAAAGAGTAATAATAAGAGTTGTCATTTATTATCTGCCAGTTTCTTGTTTGCTAATGGTTTTAATGGGGGTTACATTGTATATGCATTCATATGAATCTGACCCTAAGGTATTAGAGGTAGAGAGATTAGGAGACAATTTGATCAGAACCAAAAAGTACTACTGATCTTACTCTGAGTTTGGCAGATCGTTTTGCTCATCTCATCTCTCTCTTATTTTTCCTGATCTTTTTCTTATTATTATTGTTATTACTTCAAAATGAAATACTACTAGTTACAGCGGATCAGTTTTTTTTTCTTTTTCTTTTTCGTATTCATACGTAATTTGGTGTTGAAAAGTAAGCTTATAATTTGGTGTTGAAAAGTGAGCTAATAATAAGCACCATAATCAATGTCTTAGTTAATATATATAGATTAGGACCCATCTCTAGTGTAATCACTCACTCTTCAATCAGTAAGTTTGGTCTATCTTCTCAATAGTCTAAAGTCTAAACAAAACGTAAGCTTATATAATAAGCACCTTTATACCAAATTTTCCAATAATCCAGAAGTTTCATTTTTAATCCGAAATCTATACTAGTATTCCCTCTGTTCCTAATAGTTTGATGTTTTGGAGTTTTCACACATATTAAGAATTCAATCATTGTTTAATCATTTTCACATTGTTTTTAATCAAAAATAATTTTAATAATTATCAACCAATAATAGTCTAAGAAAGTTAATAATTTATAATCATTGTACTTTGAAGTTTACAATTTATTATTATAAATCAATAAAAATAAAATAAAAATGCTAGAAAATCAATCTTTGTGAAACAAACAACAAAAGCTAAAAGATCAATTTTTAAGGAATAGAGAGAGTAGTATAATTTACCGAAGAATGTGGATGCATTTAATGATACTTGGCCAAAATTTCTTAATATATTTGAGAGAATAAAAAAATACTACTACTAAGCAATGAATTATAAATTTTTAAAATAGATAGTCAAATCACAGAGTAATAATTATGTAACGCATGGGTGCCCAGGGTCCACATCATAGGAGGCAGAATGATGAGAATGATCTTTTCTTATGTCCCAAAAGGTCACTCACTTTTAACGGGATTTGTTTTTCTATCCTATTAATTAAAAATAAAGAAAAAATCTAAAAAATTATTTTTTGTGAAATAAATCCAAAACACTAAAAATTTATTGAAAGAGTATTTATTAGTAATGGAAGGATTTTTTTTTTTATATAAAGGCAAGGAGCTTGATTGATTGAACTCAGAATTTGAGTTAGAATTCTTTTTGATGTTGATGAAAGATCATTATTCGTTTGGTTAATAATTTACTTCTTTTTTTAGGCAAAAATTATTGTTCTTGGAAGAATGATAAGTCGAGGAAGTGAAGTCTTTTTTTCCAAGGGATAAAAATGATTGATGGAATTTTGGAGTTTGGTATTTGACACTCTTTTCTTTGTCGTTGCAATAGCTCCTTTTTCTCGACCACACCATTTACTCCGTCTTTCAAAATCTATCAAATCAAACTTTTGAATACTTACTATACTATAGTCATTTATGCCAAAATACTTTATGCTATAAAGCTAACACTTTTAACAAGAAAAATTTAGAAAGAGCAGCAATTATAAATAGAGAGGTTTATAAAATTTTCATTAATAGAAGGCGATTAAATAGTGGTGAAGCAACGATTCTCAATCCCATTGGTGAATGCATCTTTTTCCATGTCTACAGATTTATAAACATTTTGGTTAGTTAACGAAAAATACAAACAACATAAAAACAGTTCATAATTTTACTTCAGAAAATTAATAATTTATAATAAAAAATTGACTGTATACTACAGTATTTACTAATTTTTTTATATTTACATATAAAATTTAGATAAATTTTGATTATTTTGTTGAGTTTAATAGTTGGTTGAACTAAAGTCATGTTAAGTTTGATTGGTTTGGTTGTGAGATATGTAGATTGAGAACGGTTTGAGTAAAAACAATTGGTTCGGTTAGGCTTTCACTTTTACTTGATTAGGTTGGGTATAATTCATATGTCCACCCCTAATCGAAAGTCGATATATACTAAAGAAATGGATCATAATCTAATTACCTTAACTCAGACCACGAGATATCGTAATAATTGACTTTGTGACATCGGAAATCACAAAGACATTTGCTTAGGACTGAGCTGGAAACCAAATGTCTTTAGTTCCCCAAATTTTGAAGAATTTCTCATTTTTTTTTTTTTTTTGAAGTTCTCCAATAGACTCTTTTGTTGTTTTTACCACATAGTAATAATTAATATAACAATTATTATTGAATTTATTAACTCAACCTACCCCCAGACAAAATCTTATGTCAACCATAGATACTGTTGTTATTTTGGTAATATAAGATCTTGCCTACGGTTTAACCTAGAGTTGTAACATTTCAACATTAGACAAAATGTTAGCAGTTTAAGTTCATATTATGACAATGCACACAGGACTTTTAAAATTAACAATATTTCAACGCTGGTGTTTTAAATAGACTGTAACGTGAAGAATCGGAAGATATATATGAAATGATTTCACGACAGAAGCAATAAATAAAAAGCAAGCTTTTGAATTCTGATACATGAAATACATATATGTCTCATACATACGATTAGACAAACCTGAAATGTCCTCTTCGTACAATAATACACACATGTCAGATATACACTGAAGTCATGTTGCTATGCATATCTTTTGTTCCATACTTTTTCTCTACTTTTACAAAATCATTTATTTTCTTTTCGATATCACCGATTGGTGTATGTTATAAACTTTAAATCATCATATACTAACATTAAAGATTTGCTCAAAAAAAAAAAAAATACTAACATTAAAGAAAGAGATACTTTTGAAGGAATTGGTATTGTTCCGAGTTGGTATTGTTCTAATTGGTTCTAATTGGTATTGTTCCGAATGATGGAATTCCCCTTTACTAATCATACTGAAATAATGTAAATATGTTAAGCATGTGTGAAAATACTGTCGGTTGATTTTTAACGTTTTAATTAAAAAAGCAATAACAACGTGGTTTTAACTTGCCACTTGCATCATCATCAAACAAAAACACTAACGTCTAGACCAAATATTTAAACATTTACCCCATACTTTTATATATATGATGAACGAGATAGCAAGTAAATTGAATGTGAGTGAAACTGAAACCTTATTTTGACAAAGATTAATTAATAAATAAATAAAGTAAGTATTATCAGTTTACCAGTATTAATCAAATCAAGTTTTAACTTCAAATTTTTGTAAGTCTGCAAGAGATACGTTATACTCTTCACCATATATTTATAAGTTCAGAAAATTAAATAATATACAATTTATGTACCTATAAATAGATAGAAGAAGCTCCATCTCTTTCAAGGTACCAACCACCAAAATCTTTCACCACACATTTCTCCTTACTTTTGTCCTAAAACCAAACCCTAGAAACCAAAAAATGGAAGAAGCCCTAAGGAACTTCACCGAATCTAGCCACTCACCCGACCCAAATCCTTTCACGAAAAACTTCACTGATGCTACAGCTTCACCAGTTAGCCGCAACCGCAAACCGTCTTCAAAAGATACCACAGTAACCATCGCCGGAGTTGGCAGCAGCACGACGAGGTACCGCGGCGTACGCCGGAGGCCGTGGGGACGATATGCGGCTGAGATACGTGACCCAATGTCAAAGGAAAGACGGTGGCTCGGAACATTCGACACGGCGGAGCAAGCCGCTTGTGCTTACGACTCTGCGGCTCGTGCCTTTCGTGGAGCTAAGGCTCGTACCAATTTTGCTTATCCGACAGCTGTTATTATGCCTGAGCCAAGGTTTTCCTTTTCTACCAAGAAATCTCTGTCGTCCCCCCGTTGTCCTCTTCCTTCTCTACCGTTAGATCTCTCTACCCAGGACTTTTTCGGTGCACCGGCAGCGCAGAGGATTAATACACAGTCTATCTTCTTACGTGACGCCTCGTGTTCCTCTCGTAAAACGACTCCGTATAACTCTTTCAATGTTTCATCTTCTTCTTACTCAGCACCGAAGACGGCATGCTTTTCATCTTCCGACAACGAAAACAACGAGTCGTTTTTCCCGGAAGAATCTTCTGATTCTGGTCTTTTACAAGAGGTCGTTCAAGAGTTCTTGAAGAAGAATCGCGGCACTCCTCCGCCACCAACACCACCGCCGGTGACCAGCCATACTCATAACTCTGGTGATTTCTCTGCTCTCACTCTCTACTCTGACAATATGTTTCAAGACACGAAGGAGTCCCTATCGTCGAAACTAGATCGCTTCGGGAATTTCCAAGCTAATGACTCCGGTTATTTCGACGGCGTAAGCGCCGCCGCAGACGGTGGTTCAAACGAGTGGGGGTATCAAGAAATGTTGATGTACGGAACTCAGTTAGGCTGTACTTGCCGGAGATCGTGGGGATAGCTAGATCTTCATCATGATTATGTTTTGCGTCTTGGTACTATCTACATAGTTTAAAGATTTCTTCCTTTCCCAATGTTGGATATTAACTAAAAATATGTTTAAGATGAATTTGCTATAGATTTTAAGTTGTTATTTTATAATTAAAGCTTTCGAATTTAAGTTTATGTTTAGGGCTATCGCAAGTTTATTATTCTTCTGGTCTTCGTGCGTGTGTATTACTGTGTTATAAAAAGGAAAACGTTATTGAGATTACAAGTTTGAAATGGACAAGGACAATGAAACTGATGTTACAAAAAAAAAAATTAAAGTAAAAAAATGTAGAATATATACTCATTACACGGTTAATGATTTAAGTTGTATCCTAATTTATAATCAAAACTTGTTAACCAGCTTAAAGCCTCTAACTTACTCGTAAATCATAATAGCAAATATGATAAGAGGTTAGTAAAATGTAGAAAAATTTCTTTGTTCAGCAATGTGGGCATCGACCTATTTAAAGTGAATCTGCAGATGAAAAAAGTGATATCCTTACATTAAATTCTAACTTATTTGTTTGTAGTCTGAAAAGTGGACTTTCGTACGTACAAAAGGCAGTGTTTGTCTCTGTCTTCTCCATCTTTTCGTGCTCTCTTCATTCTATCACCAAAGGAAAAGCTAAACTACTAATTACTAAATAATAAAGGTCAAGAACTTTAAATATTGATTGATATCAAAATAATTCAGATGATTTGATCATTATACAAATTTTCACACACGTTGATAAAACAGTACTGAATTTCGAAGAATAAACTAAAATATATTCGGAATGAGTTTCAATTCATTGTGAATTTGATGAAATGCAAAAAAAATCTACGGAGATGCGTTTTTTTGGTATCAAAATGTACTCACTGACACTACACATGTTTGCAATTCCGTATGTTTCGTGGTTATTGCTCGATGCAACATTCACATATATGGATGAAAATTAGTAGTATACGAAAACAACAAAAATGGTACCAAACAAAATGAACGTTTGTTCATATTACAAAACATCATGATATATATGCACTTTACGAAAAATGGTCTCAATCTCTTTATTATCGACACACACAAGTACACTAATCATATATTTGTAATTCAATTTAATGTCTCATATAACTAGACAACTTAGAAATTACTGTTGGGTGCTAACTTTATAAATCTCAACGAATTAAAGTGAAATCATACTAGGGCATAAATAATTAAAGGGTGAAGGTCAAATTGTCTCGAGATAAAGGCGCAAGGCTAGGGTTTATAGGTATTCGTAGAACACTTAAGTTAATATTCGTTAGGCAACTATAGATACCAATGTATACTAGCTAACAAGAAGTTGGAAAATATCCAACAAAAAAATAATCTCATCATTTACCATAAGCCTTTTACCAAAAAAAAAAAAAAAAAAACTCCAGGCTAAGCGAGCAACAACAGTGGAATCCCCCTTGGCCCAATGGTTGATCAATGGTTAATTAATGCTTTTACACCAAGAGGTCTGGGGTTTGAGTCTTAGATACTGCGATTTATTAACATATTTGCAGATTAATCGAGGCAAGTGTGCAAGAGATCTCCAGCGAAGTACAATTATAGCCGTTCGCTAAGATTCTACGCAGAGAGGAAAGTGTAGCCGTTCGCCAGGATTCTATGCAATGAGAGAAGTATCGTCAAGTCGTGTATCATTGAAAGTGTCCATCAAGAGCATGAAAAAGGAAGTGTTGCCTGTCGTAGATCTAATAAAAATCGGAAGAAATTGTCAATTGTAGAATCGTCTATGTAACAGTTCTCATAATTTGCAATTAATAATAAATCAAGACGTATTAAAAAAAAAAGCGAGCATCAACAAATATTCTCTCCACAATGTAGAGGGGAAAATGTTTAGGCCCAATTTCAAGCCTAAATTGTAGGCCCATAATAAGATTCACATCTGCAAAGTGGCATTCTTGGTCTTTGTACTTGAATTGCTGTTTTCCGCAGCTCGACGCCCTATTATCTTTATCTACGTCAGCTAGTTGTGTGAACTAAAAACATCATCATCATCTAATTTACGATACTGAATAGTTAGTGCTTGATTACTATGGACTATAGTTGTTAAACTCGATGTATGAAAGTGTAGTACATTTCTTTAACAAATTTTAAGAGTACCTTGTTTTTCTTTCTTAATCCACAGTGAATCTCCCAAAATATACATTTGTGAATGATGATTTTAAAGGTTTTTACTCCACTCAAATGATATAGTGGGCTTGTGACGTTTCAGCCGTTGTAAACCTCAAAAGTTATTAGTGGGAGACCTTAAAAGATCAAGTCAACGTCGACTAATCCAACACCACCGCAACACGTTAACGAGCAATGCAACTTGAGTCTTAATAACACACATCATTGTTTTCTTTTATGTTATGAAGAAAATATTGGAAATCAAATCGAAACGTGTAATTTTATATTTTCTCAAAAGCGCCTCCAGTTCGTTTTCATATACACAGATACTCCACTCCTTCTCATACGTATAATTTATCCTAATTCCTAATAATATCTTTTGATTGAAATTGATAAATCAGTTTTCTTTTTATTGTACACTTGAGCAATCATAAACTGAGAAAGAAGCTAACATACTCCATTCACTTATCAAGAGTGGAAAAATTCGTACAAGTAGACAAACACTTTTCTTATTTGTCAAGGAGTTCTATGGATATATAAATTAGATGTCATAAATAATATCTCAATCATAAGTAAACGACCTTATAATTTTCTAAGTCAATGTATCTCGCCGACCTATACAACACAAGTCACGATGATCCACTGGCTTTGTTTGAAGATTTACAATCATTGAATCAATTTGTCTCATTAAAATGAAATAATTTGTTAAGGATTGCTGTTACACATGAAATGATGCCCTGTATCCAAAACATTTTAATCATAGTAATACCTAATAAAAAAAAGGAATAAGATTCTTTTGTTTGACCTTTTAAGGATGTCTAAATGGGCCATGAGTTAAAAAAGTAAGCCCAATTACAAAGGAGATATTTTAGAGAGCCACGTGTCAGAAGCTTAGTAATGAAGTCATATACACGACATAAATAAAACAGAGGCGTTGAGTCAGGTCCGAGAGACTCGTGGTGGGGCCCGAGTAAACCGTTATGCTGCTTCTTAAATGACGGTACTACCCCCACATCGCAGCGTCCTTGGAGTGAAGTGAGAGAAGGGTAAATACGTAAATAGAGGAGAATGCAGAGAATTTGATGAATTTATTAAGAATTGTGAAATTGGCCCCTTTTCTTTTCTTAATCGCGTAGTGCCACCCATTTCCAGAGAGGACACAGCCTTTTCTTGTATCCCTCTTTCTCTCTTACTCATTCGTTTTTTTCTCTTCTGATTCAAATTTATTTGTTTCTCTCTCGAAACTAAGGATTAAAGTTTCTTGTTTTGTGCTCTTCGTTTTTCGGATAGTTTCTGTTTTTGTTAACTGTGTCGTCAAGCTGAGTTTGGAGAGTGAGTGATTTGAAATTTTGATTTTCCGGTAGCAAAAGGGCGTCGTTGGAGACAGGCGAAGTATATTTGGGCTTCGTTGTCAAAGAAAGACGAGTTTTTGAGATTTGAAAAGGTGGTTGGCATTTTGGTAAGTATTTGGTGGATCTGATACTGGGATGTGGTGGATGATGGGAGAAGCTGGTGGACATTACTGTTCTAAGAAGACTGATGATATCTGCGGCGGTGTTTGTAGTCAGGTTTGTTCTCTGATCTCCTTTTTAGTGAAGATTTGTGTGTGCCTTTGTTCTGTTTCTGAGATAACGAAGAAACCACATTGATGTGCAAAAACGAGATCTTTACTTCATTTACTTGAAATTTGCAGTTTTGGATCTTTTAAGATCTTAAAAAGTCGATCCATTTATTTGATTTTACGCATGAACTTGCATTTGATGTTAAGCGATTCTTAATTCTCCAATTCCAAAACTTTAATCTCTTTTTCTTCACTATTTAAGAATTTAACTTGGATCTGAGTTTTAGATTTAAGAATTTCTCTTTTTTTTTATTCAGGTCTCTTTGCTCTGCTCTGCATCTCTTGTGTTATGGTTCTAATGTTTAACATATTTGTTTATTCTCTATCTGGCAGGAACCTGGAAGATTCTTCAGCTTTTCTAGACTTTGTTGTGCTCTTCGTGGTGTTGATATGAAGACTTATATCTTCTTATTAGTGATTGTTCCCACATGTGTACTCGCTGGTTATGTCCATGGTCAGAAGATTTCTTACTTTCTCCGGCCATTATGGGAATCACCACCTAAACCTTTTCATGACATTCCTCATTACTACCACGAGAATGCTTCAATGGAGACTCTTTGTAAACTCCATGGCTGGGGTGTACGAGAATACCCTAGACGAGTTTATGATGCTGTTTTGTTCAGTAACGAGCTTGATATCCTCGCTGTTCGTTGGAGAGAGTTGTTTCCTTACATCACTCAGTTTGTCCTTCTTGAATCAAACACGACGTTCACTGGGTTGCCTAAGCCTCCTGTGTTTGCTGCTCACCGAGATGAGTTCAAGTTTATCGAGTCACGCTTGACTTATGGTACTGTTGGTGGAAGATTTGTCAAAGGGCAGAATCCGTTTTACGAAGAGGCGTATCAGCGGGTAGCTCTAGATCAGCTTCTGAGAATTGCTGGGATTACTGATGATGACTTGTTGTTAATGTCTGATGTCGATGAGATTCCAAGTAGACACACCATTAACCTTTTAAGGTGGTGCGATGATATCCCGAAGATCCTTCATCTGCGGCTCAAGAACTATCTTTACTCGTTCGAATTCCTTGTTGATAGCAAAAGCTGGAGAGCTTCCGTCCACAGATATGAGACGGGAAAGACACGGTATGCTCATTATCGACAGTCTGATGAAATCTTAGCGGATGCAGGATGGCATTGTAGCTTTTGCTTTCGACGGATCAGTGAGTTTATATTCAAGATGAAAGCATATAGCCATAATGATAGAGTGAGGTTTGGTCATTTCTTGAATCCTAAAAGAGTTCAAAGAGTTATATGCAAAGGAGCTGATCTTTTCGATATGCTCCCCGAAGAGTATACCTTCAAGGAGATTATAGGGAAAATGGGTCCAATACCGCATTCTTTCTCGGCCGTTCATCTTCCTTCGTATCTCCTGGAAAACGCGGATAAGTACAGATTCCTCTTACCGGGAAATTGCATAAGAGAAAGCGAATGATCGATCGAATCTTCACCACATGAAATCTTACTTCTCGTTCATCTTAAGACCTCTACATTGAGAGGAAACAAAGACTGGCTTGAATCCTCCTCCGGACTAATAACACTTACACAGCTGATATAGAATCTCTGCAATTTTGTCTGAGGCTTATCGGTGTCGGTGAATGCTGCAGAGTTTTTCATCAGGCATTTTGAGAGGATTATTAAAGAGTGAAGATTTTTGTACATAGATAGACCTCTTTGTTTCTTCAGGTTTCTGATTTCGCATCAGGCATGAAAACCTTCATTCTCTGTGACTGTGCATCATCAAACATGAGTTTGTGTTCTTCTGAGTTTCCCCTTTTGGGAAGTTTTGCATCAAGACACTATTTACGTACCCTTTTTGTACATCTCTCTCTTTCTCTCTCGATTTCATTGGGTTTGTTATATATACGAGGATTGGTGTTTTTCATGCGTTCGTTATTAAGAGACTTGGTCTCATGAATAAAGCTTCCTTGTTAATGAGTAAATGAGAAATTTCCCAAAACTTAAATGGAAAAGGAACACTAATATTATTCATCAATTAGGCCATGTGGTCTAATATGGAAAAGTAATACTCTTTTCCAGGTTTTGAAACAAATACATCGGCCATGTGGTCATATCGCATACATTGTGTTATGCCTGATTAAAAGAAATCAAGTAAGGACGGTCAAGAACACACAAAAAAAAAAAAACGAAGGATGATCTCTAATAGTTTCTTTAAAAAATTATGTCCTGTGTATAAGTTGCTTAGGTATCATATGAAAAGTATAACTTGGATTTGCTTAATCATTTCTGGACTCTACCATGTCATTGTATAATCCTTCACTTGTCTTTCTGTTTGTTTAGTTTCTTCAGCTAATGAATCGTTGAGTTTGCGATTTCGTTGAGATACTGCTTCTCGGAACTCGCCATTCGGCTTTGAAACATTGTCCATTCCCGTTTACATCTGTCTCTCACCTTTGCAACAAAACCATATAACCATCATCAATTAGTAACAATAAACCGCAAATACTATGTTACATACTGATGTTTCAAAGTTCTTACCCCTTGCCACCCTGCTTTACCATCTTGTGCCTCTCCCTGGTAAAAAGAAAACCAAAAAAATATGAATCAATATATGATGAACAAAACAGAAAACTTGAAATGAACTTGAGAAGGTATTATCAAGAACCTGGCTGCCTAAAGAAGGAAGAGATTGATGAATGATCCATTGAGAATCCACAACTCCTATCTTCTCATGTGCAGGCTGTTTGTTATATCAGGAAACTTTTTAGTAGATAACCAAACACAGGTCCTATGTTTTTAGAATCAAGATATGTAGCAAAATGATTAACCTCGACGCATTTACGGAGTGCAAAATCAAGACCCCAACCGTGAACCAAGTCGTTCTGAATCATATGCCACACGCAACGCCAGGCATCTCTTGAGAATACTGGAGCCATAATCTCTATAAACCTATGAGAATATCAAGTGGAATCAAGAGTATTGTATAGATTTATGTTTTTGTAATGAACATTTGAGACTACGTACGCCGCACAGGGAGGCAAGTGAGGGTCATTGCATCGACCTGGTTTCTCCTTGGAATCTCTGGTGATTAGATTTTGCAGAAAGAAAATGATTAGTTACTTAAAGTTTTCGCCTTTTGATGTTTGGAATTGTAAATTTGCTTACTTGTGAACTTCTCCTTTGGTTTTTCTCTTTGTTATCTCCCATGTGATCTTTGTTTTAGACTCCACAGCAGGCTGCGATATCTCTAGACCGTGTTTCTTTATCAGCCTAATGTACCTGCACAAGAGATAGAAGCACATATTCAAATTTTCTGAACTAGGATTCGTGCGGCGATTTTTTGTTAGAAATGAGCAAGAAGACGCACTCTTCTACATCGAAGTTTTCAAGGCCGAGGTCTTCATCCCAGATGAATACATAGTCATAAGGTGCCACGATGTCAGGATGCAGAAACCGTTTAGCATACCACCTTGTGATGAAAATCATAACCAGTGAGATTCAATGGTTAAACAAGCTAGCCTCATGAAGATTGGAGTAGTTAGAGCAAAGTATAGTTACGTTTACCACTTGGTTTGCTTTGGCACGCTCACGTGTATTGCGCGTTTGGACCATTCGAATTCGTCCCATTCTGTGGTTCGTCCATCGTAGTGGAACAGAACAATTGTGAAATCTTCTGAAAACTGCAGTAAAAAAGAAGAAGAAAGACTCTAAGCTTTTTTCAGATAGAGAAGAGAGCCTGCATAAGATTTTACCTTCTTGACACAAGCATCAACGTTTACTTTCTGCCCAAAACCAACAGTAAAAGCAATGAGATACTTTGGCTTCACAGGAACATCCTAAAGAAGTAAGACATGAGAACAAACCCACGATCAGACAATTCAATGCTGTTGGAAAGATGAGATTTTTAGGAGGAAACACTAAAGGATCAAACATTATACTACCTCCTCAGGTAATCCCCAAAGTCTGCGTATGTAGTAATCTGATTCAGATGCAATGATACCAGGAGTCAGCATTTCTGCACCTCGGGGATTCGATGGAACCCAAATCTGCATAATCCTTATTAGGATTAGTTTACAAGATCTTGTCACTATCACTAAAAGATCAAAGAGAAAGAAATAATGCCTTCCAATGCGGTGCATCACTCGAATTAGCCCTGTGTAATGGACTCCTAGATGACCATGTATGTAAAAGCGTTTCACTCGATGTTTCTGGTGTCTCATCTTCTACATAAGCAATATCAACAGAGGGAAGAATGCCAGAGGGGAAATTTAGCTGAAAGTTATCAAGTTGGCACATGAAACACATTAAGCATAAAGTCTTGAGAGAAAATAGGAACAAAAAGCTAAAGATATAGCTCACTTTTGTTAGTGATAATGTAGGGAAAGATATCCCCAAGAAGAAACCGATAACTATTCCTACGAATGTTGCTATAATGAGTCTCATTCCATCATTTGGCTTTTTACCATTCGAACTGCAAACAAAGAAGTAACATACAAATTCATTTTTCTATTGTGATCATCTTAAAACATGAATCAAGCAATAAGCTCAGGATATTGGTGAATCTAACCAGCGATTCGAGTTGTCTGTTCGGTTAGCCATGTCCTGAATCCGGTTTAAGTTCTCCAAGAACAATACATTCAATGGAAACTTCAGTCTCTGGAAATTTCTTATCTGCATCACACGGAGATTGAACAGGAATGAAAATGTCATCTTTAGATTCAGATCCACTCCTCAAATGAATTCAAGTAGAAAGATTTACAAGTTAGTGGGAAGAAGTTAAAAAAACTAGTGAGCTGGGAATATCTAGCTTAAAGCTTAAAAAGAGCAAACATCACCAAAAATGGAAAATTTGAGATAACTCTGTAACAATTGCTTCCTGATTAAAACTCGTGAGATCGAGGTCTGATGCGATGCGATTCATTAACAGAGCAAGAGGTGTAAGCAAATTGAAATCTCTTTCATTAAACGATAAAAATTCCAAAATCCTAAAGATAAAAGTTAAAGCAGATCCATGTCATGGATTAGAGATTTACTTCAAAAAGAAAACGTTGGTACTAGTTACTGGCAAGTAAACAAAGTTACCAACTTTGAGCTATATGGGAGAAGACAAAACCTAAAGAAGACGAATCAGATTCGGGCATAAGAAGGGTAATCGCTACTCGAGTAACAGAAGTAGTAAAATCACGTTACGAACAAATAAATGAGACGAGAGAAGCAACGGAAAATTTTTAGTCGGAGAAACACTGAGCAAGATCGTTGAATAACGTAAAAAAGGATGTAACTTTAAGCAATAAAATCAATTACCCAGAAGAATGAAATCTCAGAAGAAGCCGTCGTCTTTGAAAATTTTCTGATGAACTTGACTCTGAGAATTGTTGTTTTTTGATAAAGGATGGAGAGATAAAAATTAAAAAAGAAAACAGAGAGGATGTTTGCCCCAAAAACAAAAAAGCGAAGTGTGTTTGAACTGATCCCATGTGACGCGACGACGACTTACGGGTTTATGTAGGTCAAGACTCAAGAGAAAGTTGACAAGTTGACTTTTAGCTTGTCAAGACACTAAAGTCTACTTACTGATATCTAGGGTTGCAAACGCTCATTATGACCCAATGATCTAGGGTTGCATTTGCAGTCATGAAAGAAAACACATTTTGGCTACATTGATTGACCATGAACAAAGAATCAAAGGTTGTAACATTTCTCATGAGTCATGACAAGGTCTCTTTCTTCTGTTAGGAATCATGAGCTCTTCGAAATGACGATTTTTTGTTGATTTACCTTGGATTATCAAAGCTCATATATTTTCGGATATGTTTATGTATACAGATATGACTTTACTAGGTTTTAATACTACGTGCAGAATCGTGAGCATCTAACTTAATACTAGTTGACAATAATCATATTTCATACACCTGTTGTAGAATACTAACATCCTCATTATCGACACAAGATCCTTTCGGTGTAATGTACAAATCTGAAACAAAAATGTGTTTAATAATGGTGAATATAATAAATGGCTAAATAACTTCTCTATGGAAGTTGCAAATGCCTTTGTAAGACATTGTTGGATTAATAATTTACCTTCAAACCAATAGTACAAAGTGACTCCATGGCCCAATGGATAAGGCGCTGGTCTACGAAACCAGAGATTCTGGGTTCGATCCCCAGTGGAGTCGTTTTTCTGTTTACACTATTTCCTGGCAGTTAGTTTATCGTGTAGATCATCTTATTCATCTTCAAATCTAAGCTATGGAACATGGTGAATAAGTAGATACCCTTTCGAAGCTGTAAACTAAGAGAACCTTTCTTCTTTACGACAATGTTCTTTTACCTTTCAAGTCTTCTTTATTGCTTAACATGATTGTCAAGCTATGTGCAACGAATCCAAAAATGTGAAATCTCACTTTTTACCAAAATGACAAAGCCTCGACTAAACACAAAGCTGCACAAATCTTAAATAGAAGATGACAGTAGTGGTAGATAGACTTCTTAAACAGAGAAGAAGAACAGAACAGTCTCTGTCTCCAAAAATTCTGAAGACACATCAATTGTCACAAGTCTTGCGCTCTGCCGTTTCACGAGCAAATGACCCAAAAAACAACAAGATGAAGAAACCATTAGGCTTTTAATTCTGAAGATGCACCAATAAAAAACAAAAACAAAAAAACCCCTAAAATTAGGTTTTTAAAAGGAGATGAATTTTTCTTATTAATATTATTGAAGCTTCTCTCTTATCTGCCTTCTTCAAAATCTGAGAATGGTGTGTCAACCAAACTCTCTAATCTCATTCCACATTCATCCTTAGTTTCCTTTTTTACCATCCATCCCTTGACGATGATGACCTGTGAAACCCGAAAATTTCAAATGTTAGTTCACTCGCATCTCAAGATCTTGATACATAGATGCAAACATCATTAGGAATGACTCAAGTTTGGATCTTCGTACTAAAGTTAGCATTTATTCTAAGTTTTTAGACTTTTGGGTTCATGCCAAAATCCAGATAAGTAGGAAGCTTCTGAATGAGAATACGAGTATATTGTAAGTCTGTTCTTTGTAATGGGATTGAATCAGATGTTAAAAGACTAACCTGTCGAAGTTTCTGTTGCTGAAGAATCCACGTTCCTTGCTTCCTTGGAAGTTTCTTCGATCATCTACTGGTCTTGGCCAATTATCGCCTGTGCCACGTGATCTAGGTCTTTCCATGGGTTCGACGTTCCTAGACTCATCGATTGATCCAGCCCGTGAATGAGGTCTTTCTGAATAGGAACCGGCTCTGCTTGCACTGGATCCAGGCCTCTCAACTGCTCGTGGCCTGAACCTGACTTTGTCGTCCAGTTCACGGATCAGCAAGTCCAGGTCCTTTTCTTTCTCGCGTATGAGATCCGGTAGATTTTGGTGATTACTGTCGGATTCCTGATGAGATTCCTTGCTCTCAGGTGCAATGGCAGCTTCCTTCTCGAGTTTCTTCCGTAGTTCTTCGATCTCTTCCTTCAACATCCTCTCTCCTTCTGTTTCAGGCCTGGAATTTTTGTTTCAGAAGACAGAGATGAAAAGTGAGACCAAATCTTATTAGCAGATGATCTAGAAAGTCATCAACATAATCATAGGGAAATTATTCATATACCAATGCAAGGCATCACAGATTTCAGAACAAAAAAGTAATCGAAAGTAGACACAAAAATCAGACGAATGTGAAAGCATGCGTTAACAAAGAAAAACTTAGGCGTAGAGATGAGATGCCAAAAAAAATCCAAGAGCTATCTTACAAGTTACATTCTATGATTTTCTTTAACTTCCCAACGAGGCTGAATAAAAAAGATAAAAGGAACAAACAACGTCCAAAAAGAGCTCAGTTGAGAGAACAAACATCGATACATTTGCCAAAGAAATGGGCAATGCACATATTTGGTACTTCAAATGATGTGCCAAAATTTGGCACTAGGTGATGAAGCAAACTTTTAGATGAGAGTCTAATGCCTAAGAGATGCTTAAGAGGACATTCATTCAACATGTCATCAAAAGAAAACCACGAATACACTAAAACTTAAGTAGATAAGTCATTCCATTAGTTTCCATTTTGAATTTGAAACAATATGCAGAAGTGGCAAAGTTACCTAAAGTTATTGCTTTGAATATAATTTCCTATCACTATTGGTTCACCAATTTACATCACTTAAAAATTCAAACTTTCTGATTCAGTATGTAGAACAGCGGATTATTTGAGAAATAATTAACATTCAAACCATGGCAACAACATAGAATTAACGTAAACCAACATTGCTCAGAGAAAATAAAGAAAATCCAAATGAATAAGGACCTGTCAACCCTGCGATGCTCGAGTTCAGAATCAATTTTGCGCCAATCTTTCCCTTGTTCCTCCAGCAATACTTCCCGAGGTTTTGCATCACCGAAAGGATTCACCTTTGGTCTCGGCTTCACCACATTCTCCACATTGTTCAATGCTGAACTCTCGGACCTGTTAGATTGAGCACTTGATGGTCTGCTGGATTGCGCACTCGATGGTCTGCTTGTTTGTCCCTTTTTGGCCTCAATATCCGAGTCAAGTTTCTTCCAGTCCAATCCTTTCTCCGCCAAAACTTGCTCTCTCGGTCTAGCAGCTCCAAATGGGTTTGGCTTACTCGTCTTCCCAGCAGTTGGAGTTTCACTCCCTCCTGCATCAACCTTTCGTGGTTCTAATACAAGACGACGACGCTCCTCCTGAACACCACCACCGGAAGGGAGGACTCCTCGGGCCCACCGGTCAGGCTCTGGTCCAGAGTCACGGAAACCCGACCCAAATGTAGATGATTTTGCTTTACCCGCTGCCCAATTATCAACCTCATCAGCTTTAGAGAATCCACCTCCACCACCAGCACCACCACCTCCGCCGCCATAACTGCCAGCACCACCACCTCCTCCGCCATAACTGCCAGCACCACCACCCCCGCCTCCAAGACCACCATAACGACTACCTTGACGTCCTTGATCAAACGAAGGAAGCGATTTCTTTCCTTTTCCCCAATCATCATCCTCATCAGCCCTAGACACTTGTGGTAAATCAGAAACCCTAGAATTAGATCCTCTCTGATCATCATCAAATCCGCCATAAGATCTCCTACCACCACCACCACCGCCCCAAGACCCATCAGAATCGTCTCGATCTCGTGACATTCTTCCCGGAGGTCCACTAGACCTTCCTCCACCATAAGAAGAGAATCCACCACCGAGACGACCAGGTTGCATTTCCTCCTCAGAACGTTGTCTAGGACCAGTAGGAAGCTGAAGCATCTGTTCCCTCGTCAATCCAGCAGAACTTGGAGCAGTGTATGCTCCTTTGGTAAACTCCGATAAAGTCATCTTCTTCTTCTTCTTAGAAGACTTAGCAGTCGCAGCCTCTTTCAAACTCGGGAAACTCTGAGAATCCGCCGCCGTGGCTGTAGCTTCAGCAGCTTGCTCTTCATCGGCACGCTCAGCCTCATCGGCCCATGCGCCGATTCCACCCCAAGGTTTCGACATCTGTGATTTTTCAATTCCAAATTCGGAGATTCCCCCAGATCTGAAAAAACGCACAACACAAATTGAGAGTGACGAATCTAAAGACTCCAATCAAAGTTACTGCCCTGAAATCGAATCCAATCTCAAGATTCTCTCGTCGTCGCCGAAAGATGAAAATTTTATGTAAAAATCGGATTTTTATTCCTTGTGAAGCTGGTTTGTTTGTTTGTAGGTTTCGCAACGGAGGAGCAATGGACGGAGAAAGAGATATAGCAATACGCGCGGGATTGGAGCGTGTGGTACACGTAGCAATCAGTTTTACGAGGAAGTTAATGGCTTGAACGTTCACGCGACGTGTAAGCAAGTGACGGTTGACTTGAAGAAGAAACGAACGGTCATGAGTCTTCTTTGTTTTTTGCCGATTCTTATCAAATTAATCTCTTTTCCCACCAACTTCAAAACATACAGCATCCATTTCTTTAAATTCGATGATTATAAAAGCTGAAGACATAATTGGATATGATCTAACGCATTTCATGTTTCAGATAAATTGAAATTGAAATTGATATTGAGAGTAGTACACATTCATCGTTTTTCTCTATACATAAACCTTTACCCTTAGAAAGCTCAGCAGTGCCTTCACAGCATCAAAACAAAATGGCTTTCTCTACTCTTTGTCTGAGTTTTTCATAATCCAAAATGAAGAAAAAAGCATCAGAGTTTCTTCTAGAGATGTGTACTGATTTCTCAAATCTCTTTCTGAGATCTGAGATAGTTCATTACAGGACCCATAGCACTGCCTCGCAGTGCCTTGTAAGACCATGAGCCTCCTCCACTTGAACTCCCTTTCTTGTTCCACCCATTGTTGGCCTGAGACAACTCTGCTTTTTTCGCACTTAAAGCTTCACTTAGTTCTTCCCAAGGGTTCACTTTTCCATTTTCTGCAATTCACATACGTCCAATGAAAGTTAATAAGACTCCATTTCAATACAATGCAATCCAAGATTGTTGGAAAATTTACCTTTTATAGGGGTTTGCAAATCTTTGTTTGCGCTTAGCTTTAGCTTTGTAGCTGACTGGTCAGGCTCGGGCGGTGCTGACTTGGCGACTTCTGCAGAATCTGAGCTGCTAGTTTTGACACTGCGGACATCGAGCAGAGCAGAAAATTCTATCTGCAGAAGCAAATTCTTTCTTATATTAGAATTGTGATGCTTAGCAAGCAAACAACTACAAGAACCAGATCTGTGTTCTTGTTCATAAGATATGTATGACATAATGTAAATCGTGAAGCATACCTCCAAGGATCCGTCTTCTTTATAAAGAGCTGTATCAGGTTCCATGGAGAAATCGTCGTCCTCTTCTGTCTTTTTCTCGATTGGAAATTCTTGAACAGGCATCAATGTCACCTTCTTGGAGTCTGGATCATAGTAGCTTATCTTCCCAACCTACCAAGCGAAGTATATTGTAAAGGGGATAGGTTCCTCAGAAAAAGAGTTGATTGGTCAATTTGGCTTAAAAGGAGAGCAAGAAATTTTACCCGAAAAGAGGAAACCTCTGGCGTCCAAGATGATGTTAGCTCAATGAGGCGGTATGCAATAACATCTCCTTTCTGTAAAGTTAACAAACCAGGAGTTGAGGAGTTTAAAAATGCTGAATCTATAAACAATTTGCTGGGTGGTAGTAAATACTATAAGCAAACCTTTACTGAGCCAGTGTAAGCCACAAGCTGTTCATAATCGATCGGACCCTTAGCAGGTGTCTCTGCTTCAGTGGGCTGTGTCTGATAAGTAGTATCTTCATTGAAATCCTGAGCATATCGTTTGGAAAATCCTGACTTCTCTGTGCCCCATTTCTGTCCTTTCTTCTTCGTCATGTTTCCATTCCACAAGAATTTTTCCTAACATTATTTAGACATGATCATTACTGATTCAGATTTGGCATCGCTTTAAGGATACAAAGATAGGTGTAAGTCATACCGCAGGAGGTTCACTTTCAAGGGGAGCTTCATCTGTTCCAGCTGAAAATTAAGCATATAAGGGAGTGAGACGCCTTACAAACGCACAAACAGCTACGTAGAGAGCAATTTGCATAATAATTTACTGAGTGGCTTGAAGCGAATGTGGCCTGGCCTCACTTCCACAGGAACCACTTCATCCCCGACACCATCACTAAGGTCATCTGGCTGTTGATTTTCAAGAGCTTCACAGTGATTTTCCTCGGTTGCTTGGTAATCTATAGTGATGACTGGTTTTTGACTGGGTGCTACAACCAACTGCTTCTGTTGAAGCTGCAAATCGTGTAACAAGAAAGAAGATATCAGTGTTGAAGTGCAGGCTGTACATCACTAAAACACGTGATCGATACATAAATCTTATCATTTTAAGTTTTGAAGTATTTGATGAAGAACCTCTTCCTTCTCTAGTTTTGTTTTCTCTCTCAGCCATTGCCGTTTCGCCTTCTTACGTCGAGCACTTCTGCTAGGTGTCTAAAATAAAAATAAGGAAGAGTGAAGGATTGATAGGAAGCTAAATGAGTAAATGAAACAAAAGGCCAATCCCTGCATCTACAAACATCAAGGAATTTTACACTATATACAGATTGTTCATTCTAATTCCTTGCAACAACTAAGTAAACTTAAACCTTTTTAGTTTCAGTAGATTGTTGGCACAGATCGTTAGGCTCTTTGCTCTCTTCTTGTTGCGATGACCTGCAATCACAATGGCAAGGGAATGGAAAAATGACTAGTTCGACATGAGTCAAGAGGATTAAAAATTTGCAAGCGAGTTTTGACAAAGCAAAAGTCCACGTACCTCTTTGATTTGGTAATGGGCTTGGTGTTACCGTTATCCTGTTCATCATTTTCAGCTCTTTGTACATCCAATGATTTCTTCTTCTTCTTCACAACAGCTGTGTTTTCTCTTTCCTCGGGAGATTCTTCAGTAGTAGCTAACTTACACTTCTTCCTCCTACATCATCATCAAACGTGAATAACAAAAAATACACATTTAGGTAACTAAGAATCGTTCTAGTAGAGATCCTACTTGGAGCTTAGGCTTTTGCTGGAAGCTTTACGTTTCTTAGAAGTCTTCTTCTCTGGCACAAACTCTTCTGCTTCCTCTTCAACCTCATCTTCCTCAGACTCACTTTCATATCCTCCAGTTTCGTTCTGGAATTCCTCATTAGCAAGAAGCATTTCACCAGGACGAAATTGAGGCCTCTCCTCAACCTCAATAGCGTTGTAAACATTCTCCTCACTGTCTTCCCCAACAATCTCCAACAAAGATTCTTTCTTCTTCTTAACACTACATGGAAAAAACGCAAAATTTAACACTAATGATACTTAATAAAAGCTCAAAGGAAAAAGCTTTAAGGGATTGATGAAACTAACCGAACGATATCTTTATCCTTCAATACACAGCTCGACTCGAATGGTGGCAAAACGAAACCATCCATCTAAAAGACCCAAAAGATAATGTAAGCATTAATGGCGTCAACATTGACAAATTTGATTTCACTGAAATTAGGGCAAAAAGAAGTAACCGTACAGATAGAGTGAGGCCAAGAGGACAAGCTTCACAGAGGCTGAATGTGCGAAAGAGATGATCAGAAAACTCTGATACAGTTCGGTGACGTTTACGATTCAGAACAACCCAGCTCCGTGTTAAACCTTGCTTCTTCTGATACTTACTAAGAATCCGTCGGTCTTCAAACACCAGACGAATCCTCACCTTCTCTTCCTCCATCGTAGACGAACTTCAGACAAGTAGAAATGAGAGAGATTTCGCCAAAGTTTTGAGCTTTCGGAATCCTTAAACCCTGTCAGAGCTCCAAAGACGGAGAAGAAGGAGCAAAAGGAGAAAATTAAAGCCAAACCTAACACTCTCGTTCACAGAGAGGTTTTAGGCAAATATTATTGGGCCTTATTTAAAGCCCATTTTAAGAAAAGCCTCAGATTAATAATGTTGGAGCCTTCGTCTTCTCGTTTTTTCCCTCTAGCTTAAGCTCAAACACCAGCCGTCGTCGTCGATCTGATGTCGCCGCATTGAAACAAAGAAAAGGCAACGGTGATATGATCATATGTGTCGAGCTCTGATATGCATCAGACGCTGGGCGCAGTACGCCTTGCATACCGCTCGCGTATAGCTAACCTCGTGAAATCGGGTATGATTGACAACGCTGTTCAGGTGTTCGATGAAATGCGTCACTCAAGCTACCGAGTTTTCTCCTCCGATTATAATCGTTTCATCGGGGTTTTGGTTAAAGAGTCTAGATTTGAGCTTGCTGAGGCAATATATCGGGATATGATGCCTATGGGTTTTTCTCTCATCCCCTTCACTTACTCGAGGTTTATCTCGGGTTTATGTAAAGTTAAAAAATTTGAGCTTATTGATGCTCTTCTGAGGGATATGGAAACCCTTGGATTCATACCAGATATATGGGCGTTTAACATTTATTTGGATCTGTTGTGTCGAGAGAATAAGGTAGGTTTTGCTGTTCAGACGTTCTTTTGTATGGTTCAAAGAGGTAGGGAACCCGATGTTGTATCTTATACTATACTTATTAATGGGTTATTTAGAGCTGGTAAGGTCACTGATGCTGTTGAGATTTGGAATGCAATGATTCGTAGCGGGGTTAGTCCGGATAATAAAGCATGTGCAGCACTTGTTGTTGGGTTATGTCATGCTCGGAAAGTTGATTTGGCTTATGAGATGGTGGCGGAGGAGATCAAGAGTGCAAGAGTTAAGCTTAGTATAGTGGTTTATAATGCGTTGATTAGTGGGTTTTGTAAAGCGGGTAGGATAGAAAAGGCAGAAGCTTTAAAATCATTTATGAGTAAGATTGGGTGTGAGCCGGATCTTGTCACATACAATGTCTTGTTGAATTATTATTATGATAACAATATGTTGAAGAGAGCGGAAGGGGTGATGACTGAGATGGTAAGAAGCGGGATACAGCTTGATGCTTATAGTTATAACCAGTTGCTTAAGAGGCATTGCAGGGTTAGTCATCCTGATAGATGCTATTCCTTCATGTTAAAGGAAATGGAGCCTAGAGGTTTCTGTGATGTTGTCTCCTACAGTACTCTGATTGAAACATTCTGTAGGGCGTCAAACACTAAGAAGGCTTACAAGCTTTTTGAGGAAATGAGACAGAAGGGGATAGTAACGAATGTGGTCACGTTTACGAGTCTTATCAAGGCTTTTCTTAGGGAAGGTAACTCTAGTGTTGCAAAGAAGCTCCTTGATCAGATGACAGAGTTAGGCCTGTCGCCAGATCGCATTTTCTACACGACAATCCTGGACCATTTGTGTAAATCCGGAAATGTCGACAAGGCTTATGGTATTTTTAATGACATGATAGAGCACGAAATTACACCGGATGCGATTTCATACAACTCCCTTATTAGTGGCCTCTGCAGGTCTGGTAGAGTAACTGAAGCTATAAAATTGTTTGAGGACATGAAGGGTAAAGAATGTTGTCCTGACGAATTAACCTTCAAGTTCATTATCGGAGGACTCATACGGGAAAAAAAATTATCAGCAGCCTACAAGGTTTGGGATCAGATGATGGATAAAGGATTCACGCTTGATAGGGATGTGTCCGATACACTCATCAAGGCTAGCTGTTCAATGAGTGCTGATGTGTAGGCATAATAAGGGGATAGACTTTTAAAATTGTCCAAATTGCCCTCTCCTGTGCAAAAATGCTATCATAGTCAATATTATGGCAGCACAGAGATGCTGATACCTAGCCATTAAAGCCTCTACTGTTGCCTGCTGCTGCTCGGAGAGAAAGAAGAAACTTATCAGGTTTGAACTAATTTCCTTCCTTCTTTACATAAGCGAATCCATGGTATAGTTTACGTAGACCAACTATATCTTTACGTTTATTACTCGTTTCATATTCCTTACATCTTTGGAATGTGAACCAGCTCTACCCTGCCTTGCCCCTGTTGCAGCTGACATTATGTGCTCCAGAAGGATCATTATTTGTGGTCAGATTATGGAACAAGACAACCAGCTCTCTTGCATTGACTCAGTTTTAACCCAGTCCTCAGAAATATTAGACTGAGGACTCAGCCTATTGGACTGAGAAAAGGATCTTCCTTTATTATGCTTAGGCACATCAAGCTTATTGATACTTGATATGAGAAGCATGGATTCCTCCTTCAATGGTACGCTTGTAGAACTTTTTTTTTTGCACCACGCTTGTAGAACATAACTCCACTGTCAGATGCAGTCTCGTTAGGTGTCATGTTGGAATGTATGCTACCAATGAGGTTTTGGATCTTGATATGCCAAGAGTTTAAGACGTAACTGATATATGCTCATGCTGCCGCAAGAAGCTGCATCTTAAAAGGCTGAAAGCCAAATAGTTAGCTCAGGCTTTATCTCACTAGTGTATTGTTAGTTTTGCAGAACTTTGTTTCAGAACGTGCCAACCTGTTTTTTTTGGTCATGATTCTGCATATTTTCATAGACTTGACATATTCAATAACAAAATCAAGCTTTGTCTGGATCCCTATTGATCGTGATTTTTTTTTCAATTTTATTGTTTTTGTGAGTTTCTTCAGCGGCTCTCAACACTATGCTTCAGTCATCCCATTTACTATATTTTATTATGTGTACTAATGCAGAACTAAGCCTTTATAAGTGCGAGACAGGAAGGGGAAGGAAGACACAAACGTTATAAAACAAAGCGGCTATTAATCTTTACCATAATCAGGAACCTGTAAGTTGTTACCTTTCTCTCTCCTTTTCTCTCCAAGAACCATATTGAATTTCTTAGTACTGTAACCAAAAAACGAAGAGAATTCGGGCCCGGTATTTGCATTTTCTGTTTCAAAACTTTTAGATGAGAAATAAGAGATGATGGTTCTAGTTTTGCTTGCTTGAATATGAAGAAAGATTACTTGCTTCCTCGTGTCAGTTTCCTTTAACATAAGAATCCTACTTAAACTTGTCATCAAGTAATCATCTCTCTCATTTAGAAACACTCAAAATTTTCTCTCTTTATTGCTTTCACTTAACTCTTTTATCCTTTAGTTGCTACCTCAATGTCTCACCACCACTATGAAACCAACCCTCATTTCGTTCAGTTTTCCTTGCAGGATCAACATCCCGGTGGTCCTTCTAGCTCATGGAACTCTCCGCACAATCATCAGATCCCACAGGCTCACTCAGTTGCTCCACCAAGGGTGAAAATAAAAACTCGGGGACGCCACCAGACTGAGCCACCTGAAACAATCCATGAATCGCCTTCCTCAAGGCCCTTGCCACTGAGACCGGAGGAACCATTACCACCACGCCATAATCCAAACTCTGCCAGGCCATTGCAATTGAGCCCTGAGGAGCAACGACCTCCACACCATGGCTATGGATCTGAACCAACTCCATGGAGAACAGCTCCAAGACGACCAGTGCATCAACCTGGTCCAAAGAGGACCAAACCCATGACATTGCCAGCCACAATCTGCTGTGCAATTCTCCTGATCGTCCTAATTTTATCTGGTCTCATTCTCCTCTTAGTCTACCTCGCCAACCGTCCACGCTCACCATACTTCGACATCTCAGCAGCAACCCTAAACACCGCCAATCTGGACATGGGATATGTTCTAAATGGAGATCTTGCTGTTGTGGTAAACTTCACAAACCCAAGCAAGAAAAGCAGTGTGGACTTCAGCTTCGTGATGTTCGAACTCTACTTCTACAACACACTCATAGCCACCGAACACATTGAGCCATTCATTGTACCAAAGGGAATGTCAATGTTCACAAGCTTCCATCTCGTCAGCAGTCAGGTACCAATTCAGATGATTCAGAGCCAGGACTTGCAGCTGGAGCTCGGAACCGGTCCAGTGTTGTTGAACTTGAGAGGAACGTTTCACGCTCGCTCGAACCTCGGGTCGTTGATGAGATACTCTTATTGGTTGCATACACAGTGCAGCATCTCGTTGAATACCCCTCCTTTAGGGACCTTGCGAGCAAGAAGATGCAGTACAAAACGCTAGCGATTTGCAGCATTCTGACTAAATAAATTGCTTCTTTTCTTGATACATTTGATGATAATATAGGCAAATAGATAGTTTTTGTATTTTCCATATTTTCTGCTACTTTATAAACAAAATGACATAGGGGAAAGTGCATTTGATTTTGTATTTTGAATAATAGAATTGATCTAAAATTGTATTTAATTTGATAATATTTCTAGAGATGAAGATATGTTAATTAAAAATCCATATTATTCATTTTGATTATAATGTTGTAGGCTTGTAGCTAGATTTAATTATGTAGAAATAAGATCTTATATTACTTTTTGTAAAAGTAAAATATGTGCGAATAAAGTCTTTAACTTTGTGCATGTTACACGAAAAGAAAAAGTATATATATATATATATATATATATATATCTTCTAAAAAATTCATTACTGATAAATATAATAGAACAAAATATAGTTTATTTATTATCATGTTTATTTCAGTGCAAACCACTACTGATAAGAAAAAGTGATCGGCCCATTTAATTGATAGCCCAATATGATTTAAAGAGTTTATGGCCCATATTTGTGGTTTGCCCGGGGCTCAAGAAACGATCTCTATACTTCTGCTTCTCGTCGTCGTTTGTCACTTTAGAGCTACTTCTTCTTCTTCTCTTCTCTGCTAAACCTTTCTCTCGATTTGATTGCTTTTCTTCAGTAAGGTACGTTTTCGATCCTTAATTCGAGCTCTAGTATCGTAGATTTGGCTTTGTAAATGAAGATGAGGGTTTCGGGTTCTTATACAGACACCAATGTATCTCGTGCTAGATCTGATTTGAAGTTTTGAGAGAAAAGCTCTTTGATTGACATCTGATTTTGGTTTATCTCATTCTAGATCAGCTTGTTTTTGATATAGCTTCTCCGATTTTCGATGGGTACTTGTATCTATTTTTCAATTTGGGATTTTCCATGATTCTGTAGGGTTTGCAAAGATGAAGCTTGATACTAGTGGGTTCGAGACTTCCATGCCTATGATTGGATTTGGCTCGAGCAGTGATATGCTTGATGAGCTTTCTTCTGTGCCCTCGTTTGATCTACCTCGTACAAAAGAGGTGATTTTTTTTTTTGATTCGAAGCAGTGTGGGTGGAATTTTCCATGTTGCTTTAATTTGATTACGAAACTGGTTTTTGTGTTGGTTTCAGTTTGATGGATTTCAGAAAGAAGCTAAAGACATGTTGAAGCATGCAAAAGGAACAACCACTCTCGCTTTTATCTTCAAAGGTGGTGTTATGGTCGCTGCTGATTCTCGGGCTAGCATGGGAGGATATATTTGTATGTTCGCTTTTATCACTTTACTTTTACTTTTGTGTGCATACTTTGATGTTGTTTAGCTGTGAGCTCTCTGAAGAATTCCTCCAAAAATATGCATCCTTTCGATATAGTTGACTGTGGTAGAAACGCTATTACAATGAAGATTAAGTTAGCTTGGTGTTGGTTTAGTTTTGTGCTGGATTGTCAAACAAATTTCGAGTCTCCATTCTGTTAGCCATTGATTGTGAATAAGTAGAGGAAAGGAAACGTTTGTGTGATTTTTGCTGATTTTTTAAATCTGTTTTCCTCATTCAGCCTCACAATCTGTGAAGAAGATTATTGAAATCAATCCGTATATGCTCGGTACGATGGCTGGAGGAGCTGCTGACTGCCAATTCTGGCACAGAAATCTTGGAATTAAGGTACCTAACTCGAATTTTTTTTGGCTGTCTGAACTGATAACTTGGATCTTTGATTAATCTTCCTTTCTGTGGATATCGGGAATCTTGCTGCCTTGTTCTTATTTTGATTTTTTATATTTCTAAAAGCAGCAGATTCATTTACCTTATCAAATACTTTAAGTTTTAGTTCTGTCTATGTTTAAGAATGACAATGATTTTGCTTGTTTGATGGTGACCCTAAGATCATACAAGTCTCTTTGAATGCTAAGCATGCGACTTTAGTTGAGCATGTGGTGGCTTTAGATCCCTTTTCTTGAATCAAACATTTCCGTAGCAATAAAGTTCAGCTTCTTTTATTTCGCTCTACTTAGATAGCAACTAAATAAAGAACTTAGTTTGATGAATGCAATATGATACAGTTTCTCTTCATTTAAGTGAATAAAGAGCACTTAGTTATTGTGTCTAAAAAGTTTGGATGTTAATACCATTGTAGACTTCTTCAATTTATCACCAAAATCTCGTTTGTTGATTCTATGGCTAATCTCTTAATTTATTTGTCTATCCAAGTGCCGTCTACATGAGCTGGCAAACAAGAGGAGAATCTCTGTGTCCGGAGCATCAAAACTACTTGCGAACATGCTCTATTCATACCGTGGAATGGGACTTTCTGTTGGCACAATGATTGCTGGATGGGACGAAACTGTCAGTAATACCAACTTCATATCTTTAACACTGTTATTTTCTTCCCACTCAAAAGGAAAATTTGAAATGCTAAATCCTGACTTCTTGTATAATAGGGTCCTGGACTATACTATGTCGACAACGAAGGAGGACGGCTCAAGGGAGACAGGTTTTCAGTCGGTTCTGGTTCACCATACGCTTACGGTGTACTGGACAGCGGGTAAATCATTTCCCAAACAATATCTTCATCGCTTATGTCCTAATCTCAAAGGCTTATAACCAAAATCTAATGATGTTACTTAAGCAACCGTTTCATATTAATGATTTTACTTGTATCATTAGGTACAAATACGATATGTCAGTTGAAGAAGCTTCGGAGTTAGCAAGGAGATCGATCTACCATGCGACATTCCGTGATGGAGCCAGTGGTGGAGTTGCTAGCGGTTAGTAATCCCAATGCATTTGTGGTCCAAATGTAATATTAAACTTTCAAGATTCTGATTTAGCTAATAATTTTGGTCTCTTCTCATATGATCAGTGTACCACGTTGGTCCCGAAGGATGGACGAAACTATCAGGAGATGATGTTGGGGAGCTACACTACCACTACTACCCCGTGGCACCAGCTATCGCAGAACAAGTGATGGAGGAAGCAACAGCCGAGTAATAAACATGTTTAGTTTTCTAATCGTTCACTCCCTTTTCTGTTGTTGCATTTTGTGGTAGTACATACTGAGTTGTCTCTAGCTGAAGCTTTGGTATTCTATTTTACTGATCTGAAATGTTGCTCGCAACTCATTCTCTATGAGATTCTCTTTTTTCTGCAATCACATGGTTTCAAACATCAATTTAGGGAATTGTGATAGGTTTGCACAAATTTTAGTTAATTAGTTAATTTGTTATTATAAATGCAGTTAATTTACCCTAATCGAAGATAACTAGTAAGGTTAACTACCAGTATCTCCTTCCTAGCCATCATGATCGGCAATTCTCATAGATTTGCTCGTCATGGCCAGTGGCTGGTCATTTTGTCCGCGGCTATACCAATCTTTGTGCATATGTTCCTAAAGGATCTTGGATCCTTCCCGTTTGGAGGGGTCTCCCTAGTTACCCTTGACGCAAATATTGTTTCTCTGCGAACGCAAGAGGTTTGGCGGAAACACTAGTAGAAATGCTTCATTCCCGTGGCATCATTTCAGCCCTGAAGGGTTTGCAAATAGTTCTGTAGATTTTCGAGGACAATACCGTTTGGTGCTGGTCGAAGGATCTGTCCCGCGATATCAATGGCGACTGCCACCATGGAGCTGACTGATGAATTTGCTTTACATTTTCGATTTGAGATTGCTTGATGAGATGAAAGAAGTTGATCTTGAAAAAAACACGCTTTTCATTTTTATCGAGTTCAAAATTCAAATACTCTAGAAGTAGGCCTGGGCACGAATCGGATATCCGGAAATTTTGTGATATTTGATAATTTTTATCGAGTTCAAAATTCAAATACTCTAGAAGTAGGCCTGGGCACGAATCGGATATCCGGAAATTTTGTAATATTTGATATTTGATTCGTCTTAACCGAATACTCGATTTTGTGATTTGCTTTGATTCGGAAATTTCCGGATATCCGGAAATTCGAATATCCGGATTTTTTTGTGATATTTGTGAATATCCGAAAATTCGAATATCCAGATTTTTTTGTGATATTTTCGGATATCCGCTATACATCTAAATATTTTAAAAAACCGTAAATATAAAAATAACAAAATATCATATATCAAAGTTCTTGTTTGATATGCTTTCAAAATATGTTCAAAAAAACAAACGTAACCATTGTTGATATCACCGATCAAGAACATGCCATCAAACTAATTCCCAAGCCCAAAATATACAAATACACAAACTATATTATGATATATATATATATATATATAATTATATATATTCTAATATATATAGGAAAATACGGATCGAAGCGGATATCCAATATTTTTAAAAACAGTATTTGGTATTTGCTTCGATTTTAACGAATATTATATTTTTCTATTTGCTTTGCTTCAAAATCTTACGGATATTCGGATTTTTCGAATCAAATCAAATCGAATACCGAATCGAAGCGGATCGAACGAATATTTTGCCCAGGCCTATCTAGAAGTACCCTATAATAAATGATATAAATCCATGTGAAGTCAAGGCTAAGTTCACATTCATATAAAATCATGACTCATGAGCTACGAGGTCAATAATATACAAAATCCAAAACCTACATTTCTTGCATGTTATATAGCCTAAATTGTTGTGCCAGTTAGGTGATTTTAAGTAAGTTATCTTCTCTACTTAGTTTGGATATATGCATGTGGTGTCCACCACGTAACGTGGTTTTAGGGTTATTATTTTACTAAGTGGTTATTGATAGTAGTTACTAATTAAGACTTTAGGAATCAGGCGATATATTAGGTCAAACATTTTGTCTCCAATTATTTGTTGGATGGCATCACTTTTTGTTATGACCAAGTTAGAAATTTTGTATTTCTCGTGGCAACCACATCATCGAGATGTCACATTTCAACACTAAGGACGTGACCTCTATCGAAACAAACTTGTATAAATCCAATTCTGGATTGGTTGATTTTTCAGCCCTATACTAATTGCAATCTCAACTTTTCAACTCAAACTTTTTATCTCTGAAAAAACCACCATAAAAAACTTTAATCTCAATAAAACTACACGTACTTTCGGATTTGTTCTTAAAACTACGCCTCCAATTGAACCGATCAATTAACCGGTAATATCTAATCCGGTTTGATTTACCCAGAATTTTGACCAAAGTTAATCAATTTTGACTCCATTTTAACCCAATTTTGACCCAAAAACAAATATAAAAGAAAACAAATGTCTTCTCTATAAATAAATTATTATTTTTATTTATTTATTTTTAATAAACAATTAAAAATAATAAATAATAAATTAATTTTACCAAAAAAATAATATACCACAAAATAATATGAAAGTATACCATAAAATAATATGAAAGTATACCACAAAAATATATATATAACAAATTTTTGGTCTATACTTTTGTTTATATAAATATACAACAACAAAAAATATACCAAAATTATTTTTTGTGCTATATTTTGTTATAAATTTTTTGTAATATAACAAAATATACATTTTCTTTTTGGCAATCATTTTCTTATAAATTCATTTTTCTTTTTTAAAACTCAAACGTTGGTTATATATATATATTATTGTGTTTTTAGAAAGAAAAATGACTTTTGAATTTATAAAAGAAAAATGATTGCCAAAAATAAAATGTATATTTTGAATATCACCACAAATCAAAGTATATAATATCACCACAAATCAAATTCATTTATATATATATATATATATATATATAAAATGAATTTGGTATAATATATATATAAAATTCAAACGCATTTTTCTTTTTAAAACACCCATATATATATATATATATATATATATATATATATATATATATATATATAACTGACCTTTTAATTTATAAAAAAAAAACTGAATCTATAAAGAAAAATGAATTTATAAATATCATAATATATACTTTGATTTATGGTGTTTAAGGATATATATATATATAAATGAGTTTTGCATATACTTTGAATTTCACAATATACAAAATTCAAAGGTCATATATTATGATTGGCAAAAAAAATTATTATTTTATTTTTTTGTAATATTACCAAAAGTATATACCAAAATTTTATTATATAATTCTTTAGAGGTTTATTTTTATATCTTTTTTTGATAAAATTAAGTTATAATTTATTATTTTAATTGTTTATAAAAATAAATAAATAAATAAATTTATTTATAGAGAAAACATTTTTTTTTCTTTTATATTTGTTTTTGGGTCAAAATTGGGTTAAAATAGAGTCAAAATCGATTAATTTTGGTCAAAATTCTGGGTAAGTCAAACCGGATTAAATATTATCGGTTAATTGATCGGTTCAATTGGAGGCGTAGTTTTACGAACAAATCCGAAAGTACGTGTAGTTTTATTGAGATTAAAGTTTTTTTTGGTGGTTTTTTCAGAGGTAAAAAGTTTGGGGTGGAAAACTGAGATTGCAACTAGTATAGGGCTGAAAAATCAGCCAACCCTCCAATTTTAGTTAAAAAGTTTTGTTTGTTTGTGAATTGTGGGCACTTCAATAGCCTATAAATAGTAATGTACAAAAGTAATAATGCAAAGAAACTTAGATCTATCTAACTTTGATTGATACAGAATTGACATATTCAAATAAAATAAAGTGAAAGCTTTTTGGTTCTTTTTCTTCCTGTTGAGGTTATTCTCACTTGTAAAGATGCATAGCTATCGTTTTTAAAGACAGTCTTCAATGACAGCGGAGAAACAGATTTGTTATTGGATTAACAAGCTACAAGACAAACAGTCTGTCCATTTAGACTTCACTGAGCACCCCTAGGGACAAGCTACAAGACAAACAGTCTGTCCCAACAAGGCAAGAAATAGATCGAAGAGAGAAAGATGATTATAAAGTCGCTCTGTTAAAGACATTGTAATTTCTCTCAGTAAACTCTCTGTTTTGTTGTTTGTGGTGATGTCATTGTTTCAAGAGTATTTGAGGAAAGATTTTGGGATACGTTTCCTGTTTTGGTTTAGGAATTACAAAGTTGCTGTCTTCGTGTAGAATTGGTCAATTTGAAGAACATACAGTTTCTTGTTGGAGACGGAACGTAATTAGGCTTTGGGCTGACAAATGCAAAATGTGTGTTTATTGAGAAAAAAACGTGAAATACTCACAAAGAGTGACCAGAAAAACTGCAAAAGTTGCCTGTCATGTCTTTTGTGAGTCGGTCTGAGTCTGACCTAAGTGTGTATTTTCTTCTTGGCTAGTAAATGAAACTCTCTAGAATTAACAAACAAAAGAAAGAGCTATTCTAGTTAGAGATTTCAGAATTTTGACACTGCAAATTTTGCCAAAAAAAAAGAGGACAAAAGATGTTGTACTGTTACATGTGTTAGGCCTTATAAGTAGTAATCAAGGAATTCCTATCCATTCAGGCATTCACTTGTCAATGTCTCTTAGAATCCTATCTGATGGCTCAATGGTGATCCCACTGATTCACAGTCTAAAGACTCAAGAACATATGTCAAATCTAAACATTTAGCAGATACAAGACTTTTAGCTGGAAGACTCTTAAGTAACAGCAAGATTGTAAGTTTTCATCAGTATTGCCAAACTTGTAGCACTCAGCAAACACCACATTAATTATTGATTACACAATCTAACAAAACTTAGATATTAATACGTTGACCTTTTTTCCAAGATTCTAGCAGAAGTCAAAAGATTATACTAAACACATTGATCAAGAGTCTTTGCTTCACCCCTACATGAAGCCTAAACACAAATTTGTTGATTCTGTAACTCTTGCGTTGCTTCTCAGCTTCAAAGTGTTATAAGAGGGAGGAAGCACCCAAGTAAAACTCAGTCACACCCATTAAAACATAAAAATTTGTCCATTTAGACTTCACTGAGCACCCCTAGGGACAAAAACAAATTTTCTGATAAAATAAACATAACTATTTATTAAACCAGATTCTTCCAACATACAACAAACGCTATTCATCATAGCTTATAGGCAAGCAAACGTCATGAAATCACAACTAAGATACAATAATTGAAAAGCTTTAAAAGGTAAAGCCGTAATTGAAAAGCTTTAAATGAAAGAACCTGCTTTATTCATTATTAAGACACAAACCGCTAGAACTTAGTCGTCTTTATTCATTTTTAAGACGCAAACCGCTAGAACTTAGTCGGTAAGTACCACGAACGGAAATAGCCTTCCCGCCCCCAAAGCGAATGGGCGCTGTGCTGTGGGTCAGTTTCGGGGCGGGGGGCGCAGAGATATCCATGCGCTTCATATTCGCATGGAGTTTGCTCCCAGAAGACTTGTCATCACAAGAAAGGGTGAGTGGCCTTAGCCCAGCTTTTCTGAGGTGTTCCCATTGCAGACGCACGAGCGTGGCGTAGGTAGGCCAATTCCTGGCATGATGGTCTTGATTGTTGAAGTATGGGTCTACTTTTTTGAAGTACTTAAAAGCACATCCTAAGCCTTTGACCTTAGCAAGGATCTCAATATAAAGTGCAAACTCGGAGGGAGTAAATTCAACCTTGTTCGCATCCATAGAGTCAAAGAGCTACAAAACGAATTAACCCATTAATCCAAAAGAAGGAAGAACAAACCTTACTTAAATGATGAAGAATAAATTACATGTAGGGCGAGTTCATCTTTGCCTTCCTTGTGAAGGCTATTCACCCGGCTCATGAGGTTGTCTTTGCTAGAAAAGACCGATGCCGCCGCCGCCGTCTCAGCAGATTCCGTTGTAGAAAGAGCCCTTGTCGTCCATCGAAGACGAGCGATGACGCCAGAATCCGAGGGTTTGGGAAACAGAGCGGGACGCGTTGCGGACTTCTGCAAGAGATGAAGAGAACCTGCTGCGATGCGGCGGAAATTCATCATCATTCTAACCCTAGCTAAATGTCGCAACACAAACCTTAGGGGGTGTTATTGGTTTATGCTTTCAAAAGAGTTTTAGTGACTTAAAGAGTAATGTAGAATATGTTGTTATTCAATCAAGATTTTTTAAAAGTATGTTAAAGTTTTGTGTTATTCATTTAAGATTTGTAAAAAGTAATGTAAAATCATCGTAAATTTGGGGTTATTAGATTCATACTCTTATAAAGTCAGTAAAAATTTTGTATTATTCAATTAAAACAAAAGAATCTCTGTTAATGAATTAAATTATTATGTTATTGGTTCATGACTTTGTACACTTTTCTTCACAAAATAAAGTCATAGAAAGTCATGAAAAATATTATCAAAATAGAGAGATTGTTTGAGAAACTTTACAAGATTATGAAAAACTAATCAACAAGATTATAAAAAACTCTCTATCAATAGTTTAAAGTCTTTTATTTATTGACTTTGAAGGATTTGATTGAAGTCATCAAAATTCCTTGGAAATTAGGAACCAATAACACCCCCTTATTTGATACTCAGCAACTCTCAATTTGGGCCCTTCGTAACTCTGTATTTATTTGGCCCGGCCCGGCCCGGCTACCCTCTTATGCACTTTGAATACTAAGCCGACTTCGGAAACCGTAATGGGAACACACAGTTTCTTTTTTTAGAGTAACTAGGGTGTGTCGGCAGGTATTTTTTTCCTGTTGATTTTGTATATGTGTCAAATTATTGGGTGCAACATTTGTTTTTCTAGTGTTTGTTTTCTAAACTTTATAGACAAGTATATATAGTACTGAGTTTGTTCAAATTCCAGCAGTGGTGGAGGTAATTTAAATTATGTTGTTTCTCTCACCATTGTTACTTTGACATAAAGTAGGGCTTGGATTTTGGCAATTCTTCATACTAAGAAGGATAGAGTTATAATAACTTTAGAGGATAAAAAACACATAAGCTTTTACCCATCTAATCTGTGGTCTCATATAGTCATATGGTTTAGATAAAGACATAAGCTTGTAACAAGATTCATAGAAGGTCTTTAATACCTCAGCGTCGAGCTCTGCTGCTTGTAACCGTCCCCCGAACTGATCATTATCACCACCAACTACAGATTCTAAGGCTTCGGTTAGTGGATCAGGCTGCATAAAGACATCAAACGGGTTTAGATGTATATCAAATGAGTTACCGATTTCTACAAGATAAACTTTTGAGAGATCTTTCTCACCGTGATTTCTTTTAGCGTAACTAGGGTGGTGTTATGGTCGCTGCTGATTCTCGGGCTAGCATGGGAGGATATATCTGTATGTCTCTTTTATCACTTACTTTTGTGTGCAGACTTTGATGATGTTTAGCTGAAGAAGTCCTCCAAAAATATGCATCCTTTCGATATATATAGTTGACTGTGGTAGTACGATGAAGATTAAGTTAGCTTATTTTTGGTTTAGTTTTGTGCTGGATTGTCAAACAAATTTCTAGTCTCCATTCTCCTGGCCATTGATTCTGTTGGCCATTGATTGTGCTAGGAACGTTTGTGTGATTTTTGCTGATGTTTTAATTCTGTTTTCCTCATTCAGCCTCACAATCTGTGAAGAAGATTATTGAAATCAATCCTTATATGCTCGGTACAATGGCTGGAGGAGCTGCAGATTGCCAATTTTGGCACAGAAATCTTGGAATTAAGGTATCTTGCTCGAAATTGTTTTGGTCGTCTCTGAACTGATAACTTGGATCTTTGATTAATCTTCCTTTCTGTGGTTATCGGGAATCTTGCTGCCTTGTTCTTATAGTGATTTCTTATTTTCTAAAAGCAGCAATTCAATTTCCTTATCAAATGCTTAGAGTTTTAGTTCTCTCTATATTGAAGAATGACCAAGATTTTGCGTGTTTGATGATGACCCTAAGATCATACAAGTCTCTTTGAATGCTAAGTATTCAATTTTAGTTGAGCATGTGGTGGCTTTAGATCCCTTTTTTTTAATCGAACATTTCTGTAGCAATTAAGTTCTGCTTCTTTTTTTCGCTGTACTTAGATAGCAAATAAATAGAGAACTTAGTTTGATGAATGCAATGTGATACAGTTTCTCTTCATTTAAGTGGGTGTACTACTTAGTTCTTGTGTCTAAAATTTTGGCATGTTAATACCATTGTAGACTTCTTCAATTTAGCACCAAAATCGTGTTTATTGATTCTATTGCTGATCTCTTAATTGATTTGTCTATCCAAGTGCCGTCTACATGCGCTGGCAAACAAGAGGAGAATCTCTGTTTCCGGAGCTTCAAAACTTCTTGCGAACATGCTGTATTCATACCGAGGAATGGGACTTTCTGTTGGCACAATGATTGCTGGATGGGACGAAACTGTCAGTAAAACCAACTTCATATCTTCAACACTGTTATTTTCTTCCCACTCAGAAGGAAAATATTGGGATATCATTTACCTTTGGAAATCATATCCCGTAAGTTATGCAAATTAGAGTAATTAGTTCCCTTAATCTCTGCTGTATATTCTCTTCAAATCTTTGGTAATTACGTTTGATTAGCTTGGTGACTAAGTCTTTGTAATGTATATATATCTGTAATCGATTCTCAATGGAAAAAACAAAGAAATCTCTTTCATCTCTACTCTTGATTCTTTATACTACGGAAAATTAAGCCGGATCTGGGATAGCATGGCTAACCACAGGCCTTTGCATGTCTGTAAATGCGGTAAGTGTGAGTGCAACCTCAATGTTCTCCAGGAACAAGATCGTGAAGAAGACAAAGTTCACGAGTTTCTGGCTGGGCTTGATGACGCTTTCAAGACGGTGAGGTCGAGTTTGGTGTCTCGTATACCAATTCAACCCATGGAGGAGGTGTATAATGTTGTCCGTCAAGAGGAAGATTTGAGGACCAATGTGAAAAAGAGTGATGAAGTTGCTGAAGTCACGGCGTATGCAGTACAACAACGAGCTCGTGTTAATTCACAAGTTCGTACTGATGAAGGGCTGCCTGTGTGCAAACACTGTAACCGTGGAGGCCACTCTTCTGATAACTGCTTTGCGGTTGTTGGGTATCCGGAGTGGTGGGGTGATAGACCAAAGGGAAGAACGATGCAAGGTAGAGGACGTGGTGTGTCTTTTGCTGGCCGAGGTCGTAACATGAGCGTTGCAAATGCAGCTCACATTTCTGTTCAAGAACATGCTAATCGTGTGATCACGGAGAAGGATCGTAATGGAGTCAGCGGGCTAAGTGAGATTCAGTGGGAGAATCTTGTGAAGCTTTTGAATGCGAATGGTGGTGCCAGCACAAGCAAGGAAAAACTCTCTGGTAAGTCGTTCTCTCCTACTTGGATTTTAGACACAGGAGCTTCGCATCATTTAACGGGAAACTATGAAATTCTTGCAAACGTGAGGGATATGGAACCAGTGTTAGTGATTCTAGCTGATGGTAGGGAAAGAATATCATGTAAAGAAGGAACTGTTATGTTGGGATCAAGTCTGGTTTTGAAATCAGTTTTCTTTGTTGAAGAATTTCAGTCTGATCTTATCTCAGTGGGTCAGTTGATGGATGAAAATAATTGTGTGGTACAATTAGCTGATAAGTTCCTTGTTATCCAGGACCGCGTTTCGAGGACGATGATTGGTGCGGGTAAGAGAGATGGTGGAACCTTCCGCTTTTGCAGAACGGAGTTGGTGGCGTCAGTTACAACGCAGGAGGCGAAAGCTTATGAGTTGTGGCATAATAGGATGGGACATCCGTCTGCTAGAGTAGTTGGTTCACTTCCGCATGTTTCTGTTTCTGTTGATTCTACAATTTCCAATAAAGCGTGTGATGTCTGTTTTCGCGCTAAACAAACAAGGTCTTGTTTTCCGATTAGTGATAATAAAACAACTTCTGTTTTTGAGCTCATTCACTGTGACATTTGGGGACCGTATCGAGTTTCTTCATCTTCTGGTGCTCGCTACTTTCTTACAATCGTAGATGATTTTTCAAGAAGTGTGTGGGTTTATCTTCAGAAAGACAAAACTGAAACAGCAACTAATTTGAAAGCTTTGATCGCTATGGCTGAAAGACAATTCCAGAAACAAGTGAAACGTGTTAGAAGTGATAATGGGACAGAATTTACAAGCATGGGTGTGTTCTTTCAAAGTCAAGGAATAGTTCATGAAACTTCATGTGTGGGTACGCCTCAGCAGAATGCACGAGTAGAGAGAAAGCATCGACACATTTTGAATGTTGCTAGAGCTTTAAGGTTTCCATCGAATTTGCCAATCACATTTTGGGGAGAATGTATCTTGACAGCTGGATATTTGATCAATAGAACTCCAAGTTCAGTGTTGAATGGAGCAACGCCATATGAGAGATTACATGGAACAGCTCCTAGCTATGAACACTTGAAGGTTTTTGGGAGTCTTTGCTATGCGCATAACCAAACGTACAAGGGAGACAAATTTGCTTCAAGAAGTCGAAAGTGTATCTTTGTGGGATATCCTTATGGGAAAAAGGCGTGGAGACTATATGATCTTCATACAAATGAATTTTTCTCTTCCCGTGATGTTGTTTTCTCAGAAACAGAGTTTCCTTTTGCTAAAGATGGAAATTCATATGGAAGAAATGTAGAAGAAGAAGAAGAAGGAGAAGAAATTTGGGTCTCAAATTCTATAGGCCCGTTTGAAGAAGAAGAAATTAGGCCTACAAGAGTTAATCCTTTAGCAGGCCCAACTGTTTTGGATGGCCCATTAGAAACATTATCTAATATGAGCCCATCTGTTGAAATATCTCCTACAACGACACAGTCATCGTCGTCTTCTCTACCAGAATCTTCATCGCCGAAATCAATTCCTTCTGTTTCTGGTTCTGCTTCATCGTCGCCGTCTACACCTGAACGGAGTCCGACGAGCTCTCCGGTTACATCACCAGCTCCGGCTTCTTCTCTTCGAGCAGCTGAAAATCCTTCTCCGGTGGCTGCTCCTCTTCGTCGCGGGACAAGACCTCGTGTACAACCAGTCACTTTAAAAGATTTTGTGACAAATTCGGCACAGACAAAGCTTTTGGGTAAGCCTAAATCCCTTTATCCGATTGAAAATTATGTTGGATCTACTCGATTTTCAGCCACGCATCGAGCATACTTGGTTGCAATCACTGAAGCTGTTGAGCCAAAGACATTCAAACAAGCAATTAAGAGTAAGGTGTGGACGAATGCAATGGGGTCTGAGGTAGGAGCTCTTGAGGATAACAATACTTGGACAATTGAGGATTTACCACCTGGAAAAAAAGCGATTGGCTCAAAATGGGTTTACAAGATTAAACATAACGCCGACGGGACGATCGAAAGGTACAAAGCACGTTTGGTTGCTCTTGGCAACAGGCAAGTTGAAGGCGTGGATTATGGCGAAACGTTTGCTCCGGTGGCGCGAATGCAAACGGTTCGTATGTTTCTGGAAGTAGCTGCAGGAAATAATTGGCCTGTGCATCAGATGGATGTGCACAACGCATTTTTGCACGGTGATCTAACCGAGGAAGTATACATGAAACCACCACCTGGTTATTTCACAAATGATGAGAAGAAAGTGTGTAGGCTGCGCAAATCCTTGTACGGGCTGAAGCAGGCGCCTCGCTGCTGGTTTGAGAAGTTGACAAGCGCTTTGCGAGAGTACGGTTTTATTCAATCACTCTCTGATTACTCCTTGTTTGCCTTCGACAAAGGCGGGATACGACTTAATATTCTTATCTATGTCGACGATATGATTGTCTCGAGTAATTCAGATGAAGCGCTCACTATTTTCAAACGATACTTGGCATCCTGTTTCAAGATGAAAGATCTTGGTGCACTAAAGTATTTCTTGGGTATAGAGGTGTCTCGAAGCTCAAAAGGATTTTATTTAAGTCAAAGAAAGTATGCTCTTGAGATTGTCGCAGATGCTGGTCTGTTGGGCTCCAAACCGGCCAAGTTTCCTCTCGAACAGAATCATAAACTGGCTCTGTCTACTTCACCATTGTTACCGGATCCAGAGCCTTACCGTAGAATGATTGGGCGCCTAATATACTTGGCTGCGACGAGACCTGATTTGGCTTTCTGTGTACACATTTTAGCACAGTTTATGCAAGCACCAAGAGAAGATCATTGGGAAGCTGCGTTAAGGGTTGTGCGATACTTGAAGGGTAATCCAGGCCAAGGTATATTATTGAAGGCACAGAAAAATTTTCAGATATCAGGGTGGTGTGATTCAGATTATTCAAGCTGTCCAATTACAAGAAGATCTGTTACTGGGTATTTTGTTCAGGTTGGTACTTCTCCAGTTTCTTGGAAAACGAAGAAGCAAGAAACTGTTAGTATGTCTTCAGCAGAAGCCGAATATCGAGCCATGGCTTATATAACAAAGGAACTTATATGGCTGAAACGTGTTCTACAAGACCTTGGCGAGGCACACTCTCAGCCAATGCACCTTTACTGTGATAGTAAATCAGCAATACACATTGCCACAAACCCCGTCTTCCATGAGCGTACAAAACATATCGAGAACGACTGCCATTTTGTTCGTGACGAGATAAAGTCAGGTAATCTCACTCCTATTCATGTTGAAAGCAGCTCTCAACTAGCGGACATCTTCACAAAACCTCTTGGAGGTCAATGTTTCCAAGAATTCTGTCTCAAACTGGGCATTTTGAATCTTCATGCTCCAGTTTGAGGGGGGGTATTGGGATATCATTTACCTTTGGAAATCATATCCCGTAAGTTATGCAAATTAGAGTAATTAGTTCCCTTAATCTCTGCTGTATATTCTCTTCAAATCTTTGGTAATTACGTTTGATTAGCTTGGTGACTAAGTCTTTGTAATGTATATATATCTGTAATCGATTCTCAATGGAAAAAACAAAGAAATCTCTTTCATCTCTACTCTTGATTCTTTAGAAAATTTGAAATGCTAAATCCTTACTTCTTGTATAATAGGGTCCTGGACTATACTATGTTGACAACGAAGGAGGACGGCTCAAGGGAGACAGGTTTTCAGTCGGTTCTGGTTCACCATACGCTTACGGTGTACTGGACAGCGGGTAAATCATTTCCCAAACATCACCTTCATCGCTTTTTTCCTAATCTCAAAGGCTAAAAAGACCAAAATCTAATAGTTAAGCAACCGTTTCATATTAATGATTTTACTTGTATCATTAGGTACAAATACGATATGTCAGTTGAAGAAACTTCGGAGTTAGCGAGGAGATCAATCTACCATGCGACATTCCGTGATGGAGCCAGTGGTGGAGTTGCTAGCGGTTAGTAATCCCAATGCATTTGTGGTCCAAATGTAATATTAAACTTTCAAGATTCTGATTTAGCTAATAATTTTGGTCTCTTCTCATATGATCAGTGTACCACGTTGGTCCCGAAGGATGGACGAAACTATCAGGAGATGATGTTGAGGAGCTACACTACCACTACTACCCCGTGGCACCAGCTATCGCAGAACAAGTGATGGAGGAAGCAACAGCCGAGTAATAAACATGTTTAGTTTTCTAATCGTTCACTCCCTTTTCTGTTGTTGCATTTTGTGGTAGTACATACTGAGTTGTCTCTAGCTGAAGCTTTGGTATTCTATTTTACTGATCTGAAATGTTGCTCGCAACTCATTCTCTATGAGATTCTCTTTGTTCTGCAATCACATGGTTTCAAACATCAATTTAGGGAATTGTGATAGGTTTGCACAAATTTTAGTTAATTAGTTAATTTGTTATTATAAATGCAGTTATATTTACCCTAATCGAAGATAACTAGTAAGGTTAACTACCAGTATCTCCTTCCTAGCCATCATGATCGGCAATTCTCATAGATTTGCTCGTCATGGCCAGTGGCTGGTCATTTTGTCCGCGGCTATACCAATCTTTGTGCATATGTTCCTAAAGGATCTTGGATCCTTCCCGTTTGGAGGGGTCTCCCTAGTTACCCTTGACGCAAATATTGTTTCTCTGCGAACGCAAGAGGTTTGGCGGAAACACTAGTAGAAATGCTTCATTCCCGTGGCATCATTTCAGCCCTAAAGGGTTTGCAAATAGTTCTGTAGATTTTAGAGGACAGTGCCGTTTGGTTCTGGTCGAAGGATCTGTCCCGCGATGTCAATGGCGACTGCCACCAGGGAGCTGACTGATGAATTTGCTTTACATTTTTCGATTGGACATTGCCTGATGAGATGAAAGAAGTTGAAAACTACCTCTTGAAAAAACACGCTTTTCATTATTATCGTGTTCAAAATTCAGATACTCTAGAAGTGCTCTATAATAAATGATATAAATCCATGTGAAATCAAGGCTAAGTTCACATTCATATGAAATCATGACTCATGAGCGACGAGGTCAATAATATACAAAATTCAAAACCTACATTTCTTGCACGTTATATAGCTTAAATTGTTGTGCCAGTTAGGTGATTTTAATTAAGTTATCTTGATATCTTCTCTACTTTAGTTTGGATATATGCATGTGGTGTCTACCACGTACCGTGGTTTTAGGGTTATTATTATTTTACTAAGTGGTTATTGATAGTAGTTACTAATTAAGACTTTAGGAGTCACACGATATATTAGGTCAAACATTATGTCTCCAATTATTATTTGTTGGATGGCATCACTTTTTGTTATGATCAAGTTAGAAATTTTGTATTTCTCGTGGCAACCACATCATCGAGATGTCACATTTCATCACTAAGGACGTGACCTCTATCGAAACAAACTTGTATAAATCCAATTCTAGTTAAAAAGTTTTTTTTTTTGTTTTTTTTTTTGTTTTTTTTTTTTTAAGTTTTGTTTGTTTCTGAATTGTGGGCACTTCAAGAGCCTATAAATAGTAATATACAAAAGTAATAATGCAAAGAAACTTAGATCTATCTAACTTTGATTGATACAGAATTGACATATTCAAATAAAATATAGTTGCATAATGATAATATATTCATATGCCAGCAAACGTGTTGCACCATCATCTACGTTTCCTCTAAGAAGAAAATAAATTGGATTCGAACAGATTTAGAATTCTCAACGTCATCAGAAATTATTTTATCAAAGAAAGTGGATTTCCAACGATAAACTTTGATCAAATAATTATAATCATACCTAATAAAAAAAACTTATCTCTATTTATAGATACTACGCAATCGTTGACTTAAAAACGTATAATTAAACGTGGACATTCGGATTTCGGATCGGATTCGGTTCGGATTTATTCGGATTCGGATAATTCGGATAGAAGATTTTATTATCCGTTCGGATTTTATGACTATTCGGATCGGGTTCGGTTCGGATAGTGTCGGATTCGGATCGGTTTCAGATCGGTTTTGGATCGGTTTTCGAGAAAAAAAACTAAAGAAAATGTTCAATTAAATTAAAAAATAGTTTAATCTTATTAAAATTTGGCTAAGTTTTCCAAAATTATGTATAATTTTAACAAATATAACTAAAAACTTTCTGATATCTAGGTTATTTAGGATATTTTTGTTATTTGTTATAAAAGTATAGCTAAATATAACTAATATTTTTGAATATATTATTTTCGGTTTTCGGAAATCCTTTCGGTTTTCGGTTCGGATCGGGTTTGGTTCGGATAATTCGGATAGGAGAATTCATTATCCATTCGGGTTTTGTGACTATTCGGTTCGGATTCGAAGCCGGATTTTTCGGATCGGTTTCGGATCAGTTTTCGGATTTCGGGTTTTATGCCAAGGCCTACGTATAATTTACAATCGTTGACATAAAAATAACATACATAAGACCATCTCCATTGGGAGTGTCTAGGTAAGACACTCTCCAATAAAACAGAATAAAAAATTAAAAAAGGAGGAGAAATGACATAAACTGTTTCTCATTTGAGAAACTCTGAGACACCCATTTTTACAGTTGTCTTCTTCTGATTGGTTTAAATAAACAATTAAATAATAAATTAATAAAATAATAAAAAATTAATATTATTTTATTTATCAGACACTCAATAGAGTTTCTGACCTGTGGAAGTGCTTTTATAGTATACTACAATCATTGAGAAACTGCTTATCCACTCAACCAATCAAAACAAAGTGTAATCGGAACACGTGGATTTTGAACCACAAGACTTGGTTATGATTTCAACGAAGATAATTTCCACAAATCTGAAGAGCTAACCGATCACGTCATCGATCCCTGTCACTCTATCTTATAAAGAAGAGACTCTTCGAAGTTTTAAACTCATATCTCCAAGAAACAGAGCCAACAAAACAGAGGAAGAGAAAAATGACGATCTTGCTCTGTTTCTTTTTAGTTTCACTTCTTACTCTCGTATCATCAATCTTTCTTAAACAGATTAAAAACCCTAAATTCAATCTGCCTCCGAGCCCTTTAAGTCTTCCGATCATCGGAAACTTACACCATCTCGCAGGATTGCCTCACAGATGTTTTCATAAGCTCTCGATCAAATACGGACCCTTGGTCTTTCTTCGACTCGGGTTTGTTCCAGTTGTTGTGGTCTCATCGAGCGAAGCAGCTGAAGCAGTTCTCAGAACCCATGATTTGGAATGTTGCAGCCGACCAAAGACGGTGGGGACCGGAAAACTCTCTTACGGTTTCAAAGACATCAGTTTCGCACCATACGGTGAGTATTGGCGAGAAGTGCGAAAAATCGCGGTCATCGAGCTTTTTAGCTCTAAAAAGGTTCAATCTTTTAGGTATATAAGAGAGGAAGAGGTCGACTTTGTGGTCAAGAAAGTGTCGGAATCGGCTTTGAAGCAATCTCCTGTGGATCTAAGCAAAACCTTTTTCTCCCTCACCGCAAGCATCATTTGTAGAGTAGCTTTGGGACAGAATTTCCATGAAAGCGGGTTTGTTATCGATCAAGACAGGATCGAAGAACTTGTTACCGAATCAGCGGAAGCTCTAGGGAGTTTCACTTTCTCTGACTTCTTCCCTGGTGGACTTGGAAGATTCCTAGATTGGTTGTTTCAACGACACAAGAGTATTAACAAAGTCTTCAAGGAACTTGATGCTTTTTATCAGCATGTGATTGATGATCACTTGAAGCCAGACGGAAGGAAAAATCAAGATATTGTCACCTTGATCTTGGATATGATCGATAAACAAGAAATTTCAGATGCTTTCAAACTCAACATGGATAATCTCAAGGCAATTGTCATGGTAAATCTCAAATCTTGGTTACTTCATATCTCATGTTAAACAACTATATTAACAACTAAATTGGTCTTTAGGATGTATTTCTCGCGGGGATAGATACAAGCGCGGTAACTATGATTTGGGCGATAACAGAACTTATTAGAAACCCTAGAGTGATGAAGAAAGCTCAAGAAAATATTCGAACCACCCTCGGTCTCAAAAGGGAAAGAATCACTGAAGAAGATTTAGGCAAAGTTGAGTACTTGAACCACATAATCAAGGAAACATTCAGGTTACACCCAGCACTTCCATATGTGGTTCCAAGGGAAACAATGTCTCACATCAAGATCCAAGGCTACGACATTCCCCCGAAAACGCAAATCCAGCTTAACGTGTGGACGATTGGACGTGACCCTAAGCGTTGGACCGACCCTGAAGAATTCATCCCTGAAAGATTTGCAAATAGTTCTGTAGATTTTAGAGGACAACACTTTGACCTATTACCGTTTGGTTCTGGTCGAAGGATCTGTCCCGGGATGCCAATGGCGATTGCTACCGTGGAACTAGCATTGATGAATTTGCTTTATTATTTCGACTGGAGTATGCCTGATGGGATGAAAGGTGAAGACATTGATATGGAAGAAGCTGGTAATATCTCCATTGTCAAGAAAATACCTCTTCGACTTGTGCCCGTTCAACATTATTAATCGAGCAGTAATAGAAGCTCGATAACATGGAAAATGAATGAAGCAAAACTGCAAAAGACGTAACATTCTTTAGATTTTGTTGTTGTGATATATATATATATATATAAGAAAAATGTTGGTTCATTTGCTTAAAAATGTTTCGGTCATGGAAATAATACAATTTGCTAATAAAGTAGTACTCTGGACCCAACATTTTCGAGTTTTACCAAAACTTTTAAAATTATTTGGTCAGTTATATACTAACCAAATAACATCTATATAAATAACTAAGGACAAAAAGGATAAGGTTTTGCATTGTTGAAAAAAGAATGTTGACAAATTCTTTAGGTAGTCAAACTGTATGTTATTAATTTATTATCGGTGATATTACTAACATCTGAAAATATTGAAAAAAATACGTTTGGGGCCTCCAATTGAGCCCATCGGTTATCAAATTAGGTCCCCAAAATATTTATTGGAATAGGAATACAATAGACTTCAGTTTTCGGAAACTTTAAAATTTTGTCACATTTTTAAAAACTATCTAAAAAATCTTCCAAAATTGTTTTTGTTTTGCTTGGGCCCCTAATTTCTCATGACCGGCCCTGCTACTATAAGAAGCATGAGTTTAGGTTATTTTGATCTTAAATCGTTCCCTTGGGATTATTATTATCGACACCGGACAGTGACTTATGAGTTATATAATAATAATAATAAATAAATACAAAACCCAGAGAAGACGGAATAAACAAAAAAACAGGGCCAGGAAAAATGTCAATCTTCCTCTGTTTCCTCTTCCTCATACCTCTTATCTTTATCTTCTTGAAAAGTATCAAACCTTCGAAATGGAAGCTTCCTCCGGGCCCAAAGAAGCTTCCGATCATCGGAAACTTACACCAACGCCGAGAATTACACCCCAGGAATCGTCGGGATCTTTCCGAAAAGTACGGACCAATCGTGTTTCTACGATACGGATTCGTCCCCGTGGTCGTGATCTCGTCAAAAGAAGCAGCAGAGGAAGTTCTCAAGATCCACGATCTTGAGTGTTGTAGCCGACCAGAGACGGCCGGGACCAGAGCAATCTCTTACAACTTCAAAGACATCGGATTCGCACCGTACGGTGAAGAGTGGAGAGCGATGCGGAAGCTCTCGGTGGTTGAGCTCTTCAGCTCCAAAAAGCTTCAATATTTCAGGTATATTAGAGAGGAAGAGAACGACTTGTGTGTCAAGAAACTCTCTGATTTAGCTTCGAGACGATCTCCGGTGAATCTTGAGAAAACCCTTTTCACTTTAGTCGGTAGTATAGTGTGTAGGATAGGTTTCGGGTTAAATCCCCGTGAGTGTGAGTTCGTTGATGAAGATAGCATCGCGGATCTTGTGCACAAGTCTGAAGTGGTCATAAGGAATTCTATGTTTTCTGATTTCTTTCCCGGAAGAATCGGTTGGCTCATCGAGTGGATCTTCAGTGAGAACAAAAGATTGAATAGTCTTTACTCGGAAGTAGACACTTTCTTTCAGAATATTCTTGATGATCATCTCAAACCTGGAAGAGAGAGCTCTGATATCATCGATGTGATGATCGACATGATGAAGAAGCAAGAGACAGATGGAGGAGACTCTTTCAAGCTCACCACTGATCATCTCAAAGGGATGATCTCGGTAATCTTTCAAGTTATCTAAAATTTTCAGTGGTTAAAATAAATCTTGCAACACAGAATTTGTGAGTTTGTGCTTTGTTTTATGTCAGGACGTATTTCTAGCAGGAGTTGGAACAAGCTCCACTACATTGGTATGGGCGATGACCGAACTGATCAGAAACCCGAGAGTGATGAAGAAAGTGCAAGACGAGATTCGGACAACAGTTGGGGATAAAAAGGAGAGAATCACAGAAGAAGATCTAAACCAACTTCACTACTTCAAGCTTGTGGTCAAGGAGACATTCAGGTTACATCCAGCAGCTCCACTTTTGCTCCCAAGAGAGACATTGTCTCATGTCAAGATCCAAGGCTACGATATTCCTGCGAAAACACAGATCATGATCAACGCTTACGCGATTGCACGTGATCCAAAACTATGGACAAACCCTGATGAGTTTAACCCTGATAGGTTCCTTGACAGCTCCATAGATTACAGAGGACTGAACTTTGAGCTTTTACCGTTTGGATCTGGTAGGAGGATATGTCCAGGGATGACAATGGGGATCGCCATTGTTGAATTGGGATTATTGAATTTTCTTTACTTCTTCGATTGGGGGCTGCCGGAGAAAGAAGAAGCCAAGGAGATCATCACCGGAAATGAAGTTGCTCTTGACCTTTTTCAAGTTTTTCTCCACTGAATATATGGTTTGGTTATGGAATGTTTGTACTATACACTAAGCTTGATTCTAAATCAATAACACTAAAGATAGTAGACACTATGGTTAATCTTCCATTATTATAAAGGGTCGTTCTGAAATGTGTCTAATTAACTTAACTGTATTTTTGAAACATAGTAAAATTGGTATTTGATAAGATTTCGTTGTACAGAATTGTTTCTAAAACTGATATAAAACATAGAGTTTCCCAATCATTCTTTTAGAAGAAATTTGTTGTTTTAAAAGTTTAGATAATAGGAAAAATAGTTCCTCAAATAACATTGCTAAATTCAGTTTCGATGGATAGTCAGCTTTCTATCAAGATTCTGCAAAGTAAACAAAACTTGCGTTTTGTTTCAAAGCAAAGAGTATGAAACTGTTTTTAAAACGTCGATATATCGAATATACTACGATGTTCAAATCAAAATAAAAAGCACATGATTAATTTCCAGTAAAATTTTTTTAACAAAAATGGAGTTCCATAGTTGGTGACCTAACTTGTTGTTTGGTTTTGAGGATGGAAGTGTTTTACCATTGTGGTGCTTTCTCGGTTTGGTGTTTTACATTTATTATAACAAGTTAGGTCACCAAATTATTATAATAAATGTTCTAATAATCATTTACGCATTTAGCCGTCGCAAAAAAAAAAAAAACAAAAAAAAAAATACCATTTACGCGCGTGTGAGTGTGTGACATTGTATTGAATAATCTTCAAATTCATACTATAAATAACGTCTTCAAGGGCCGCTAATAGTCATCAGTATCACTTCCAAGTCCAAGAAAAAAGTTTTTTTAACAAAAAATGGCGATCTTGATCTATATGTCCTGGGTTTTGTTGCTTACCCTCATTTCTATTATTTTTCTAAAGAAGAAGAAAAACCCTAACTCTAATCTTCGACTTCCTCCGGGCCCTCGGGGTCTTCCGATCATCGGAAACTTGCACCGTCTCAACGGACTTCCTCACAGGTGGTTTCATCAGCTGTCAGCCATATACGGACCCGTGATGTTCCTTCGTCTAGGGTTTACGCCAGTTGTTGTGATCTCCTCAAGCGAAGCAGCTGAAGAAGTTCTCAAAACCAAAGATATTGAGACATGTAGTCGAACAAAGTTGATGGCGACGGGTAAACTCTCGTACAACTTTAAAGACATCACTTTTGCACCCTACACTGATTCATGGAGAGAATATCGTAAAGTCGCGGTGATGGAGTTTTTGAACCCTAAAAAGCTTCAAACTTTAAAGTTGATAAGAGAGGAAGAGATGGATTTCGTGGTGAAGAAGATATCCAATTCGGCTCCCGTGGCCGTGGATCTAAGCAAGATCTCTTTCTGCCTCGCGGCCAACATCTTATGCAGAACAGCGTTTGGACAAAACTTGCGCACGAACAAGGTTTTCGACGAGGAGAGAATCGTAAAGCTTGTTGAAGAAGGCTCGATCGGTAGCCTCAGGTTGTCTTGGTTTCAATGATTTCTTTCCTGGTAAATTAGCAAAGTTTGCAGATTGGTTGTTCCGAAGAAACAAGGGGATACTAGAGAAAATGTTTAAGGAGCTTGATGAGTTTTACCAACATGTGATTGATGATCACTTGAAGTCATTAGATGGACCGAAAAGTACCGATCCTTCTGCGGATATCGTTGCCGGGCTGCTGAATATGGTTGATAAAAATGGAACTGGCAATTTGGATCACGTCAAAGGAACACTCATGGTAATTAAAACCTTAATTCTATCATCATTCAATAGTATTTCTTTATCCTTTTTTTTTTGGACCACATGTTTTTTTCTTATAACTATATGTAAATTTAGCTACTCTACATATACATGTGTTAAATCTGTGTGTTGATCATGCAGGATCTTTTTCTAGGAGGGATAGATACAGTGGCAATAATTATAGTGTGGGCAATGTCAGAACTCATGAGAAACCCAAGAGTGATGAAGAAAGCACAAGAAGAGATTCGAGCTGTCCTGGAAGTAAAAGAGAGAAAATCACTGAAGAAGACGTAGATAAAGTTGAATACTTGAAGCTCGTGATGAAGGAAACATTCAGATTGCATCCAGCAGTTCCAAGTATACCTAGAGAAACAATGTCTCATCAAATAAAGATCCAAGGCTATGATATCCCTCCAAACACGCGGATCCAACTCAACGTATGGGCGATTGGACGAGACCCCAAGATTTGGAAAAACCCTGAAGAATTCATTCCTGAGCGGTTCATTGATAGTGCTATCCACTACAAGGGACAAAACTATGAGTTGTTACCCTTTGGTTCTGGTCGGAGAATCTGTCCCGCGATGCCAATGGCCAGCAATATAGTAGAATTGGGGCTCTTGAATATGCTTTACTTCTTTGATTGGAAGTTACCTGATGGGATGGTCGGCGAAGACATTGATATGGAAGATGCTTTCTTGATCTCCTTTTACAAGAAAGCACCTCTCATTCTTGTTCCCGTTAAACACCACCATTAATGGGATCGTCACAAACAGTCGTCATTTTAATGTTTGAAAGCTTCAACACCGTTGATGCTTAGCTTGTTTGCTTGCTGTATTTGTATCGATTTTAGCAAATAATAAGTTGCACTACTTGGTTAACTACTTATTCTATTTCTTATTATGTGAAAGATTTACTTCTACAATGTTAAAAGGAACTCAATCCTCAGTATTCACCCAATATAGAAGAATATTTGGTTTTTGTTGTGATGGAGGTTTTAAAAAAAAAAAAAAATAGGAATGTGAATATATATCATTAAAATGAAGACTACATGCAACATGCCAACACGTAAGAGCATCTCCAATGGATGCATTATCAGGTTCTCTTTGTAGGTTCTCTTGAAATTTTTTTTGAAAAATAAATCAAAACTGTGAATTAAGAAGAGAGCTGTCTCTCTTGAGAGAAATCTTGAATACCATGAGAGCCGACGACGTGGCCTTATCTCAGCCGTCGATTGATTTTGATCAAAAAAAAAAACGCGTAAAAAAAAAAAATGAGAGTAGCCGAAATATATCATTTCCCGACTCTTCTCTCTGTTTCTTTGCGAAGGCGATGGCGATGCCTTTTCTCCGACGATTGAGGTTACGATTAAGGCCGCCGGCGACGATTGAGGGAAGATGGAGAGGCCGCAGGTGGATTAATTAAGGTCGGAAACGTTATAGATCAGAGATTTTCGTTTCTGATACGTTATCGATTTCCGGAATCCTTTCTAATGAATTGATTTCAAATTTGTATTTTTGGTAGAAATTTCGTTGTTAAGGATCTCTCTTTCTTGTTACTTGAGATGTTCTTCGATGGCTTAGTTCTTGGTTTGAAACTCATTAGTTCTTGGCTGAGCAATTGTTTTATGGCTTGCAACTTAAGGAACAGAGACCAATGAAGTAATTAGAGTTCTTTGGAATATGTTTTAAATGGTAGTCAAGGATGGAAGGAAGTTCGGTTTGATTTCAATTTGAAGATGTATGAAGTCTTGGAGAAGTCATCTTTATACTGAAACTTGCAAGGTTTGCAGGCAAAGGCTTGCTTTTTCATGTTTATAATGATGGCTTCTATTGCAGGAGAACGTAATGCCAACTCTTACCATGACTTTGCAACCTATTACTTTCCTTATGGTAGAACTTATGTTAATTTCAAACTTTGAAGACAGTAAATGCTGGTGGGCAGCCAAAATCTGAATCATATGACTTAAAGAAATTCCATGTTGGAGATATGATTATTGGGAGAATCAAACGTGTGGAGCCCTATGGCTTATTCATTGACATTGATCAAACTGGCATGGTAATGATCTAGTTTCATGCTGCAAGGTAATTCCTTTTCCTTTTAGTCCGAAGTGAGTGTGGTTAAGATTTGCTGCAAGATTTGTTGTCACTTTCTTGTACTAAGCTCTCATTGTAATACACAAAATATCTCTTTGTCAGGTGAAAAAGAAGACTATAGCTGCAAGACGGAGTCAAGTGAAAATGATTATATTCCCGGAGGCTAACCGGAAAGATTTTGATGAGCTGGCGGAAAACGTGAAAGAAGTGCTTGATGGAAACAAGAGGTATATGATGCTGATCTACTAAAGAGTTCTTTATTGTTGTTGTTGTTACAAGAATTAAAAACTCTTATCTGTGATGATTGGCTATGTTTGCAGAAATGTTGAGGCTATCTTTTAGACTTAAAAACTCTTATGTGTGATGATTTTTTTCAGGGATTGTCATTTTGGGTCTCACACATAAAAACTATAGAAAGTAAAGCAATAGTGTAGTATGTGTGTGCTTTGTCTAATCAAAGACCGATCAATGATATGTCTGTTCAATTTTACACATTGAAGATGGAGAAGTAGCAGCACACAGCAAGAATCGTTTGACATGGCAACATGGTCCTTTGTGGTACTCACTGCTTCTCCTCAACTTCACGGCCATTATCACTATTCTCTTTGATACCTTTGTGGTACTCACTGCTTCTGCTAAGTCTTCTTCCTTCCTCCTCCAATGATGATACTGTTGACTACAGCTATTCTGCTATATAAAACACTTTCTACATTCCACTTGCATTTGTATTGCCCCTTGTACTGTCAACACTCCATTTATATGTGATGCATTTGTAGCGAAAAACTTTGTGTTTTACGAGTTTGCTACTTCTGGTGTGTAAAATATATGATATTAGTGATGAATTTTTCTTTATTTTCTTTTCATATTGCTATATATCACACAAACTAGCACAAAACATTACATCAACCACAAAACCATGACTTGAATCCATATCTTTTTTTTCTCTACATAACCAAAACACAAAAATTTGATGAAGTGTGTTTATCAAGACTTAATTAAACACCAAACTTCACTTGTCTCTTCTTTATCCTTCTTTTCAAAAATTCAAAACACCAAATCCTATGTTTTTATATATTTATTTTCAATTTTGCAATAATATTTTTCAGATTTATGAAATAAAATAATTAAAAAAATAATTTAATTTTTTTCTGAGAACTCCACAAAGAGAGCCTACCATTGGACTTTGCAAGATTAACAAAAGCTCTCATCTCATAAATTTGAATATTTTAATCTTAAAAAAATGGTGAGAGCCCATGGAAGGCCCATGGAGGGCTCTCACCATTGGAGATGCTCTAAGAGTTTGGAATATTTTATAAATACCGACAACAACCCATGAGCTCATGAATCAAGTTGACCGTAACGAACATTTATAAAAACACCCCAAGTTGTTTATTTTTTTAAGAGAAACAATTTGGAGTAATATATCTAAATTAATTGCTAAGCTCCAGCTCTTCAACTAAAATACAAAACCCAAGAGTTAGAAAGAGATCAAAAAATGGTATTCTTCCTCTGTTTCCTCTTCCTCTTACCCCTTATCTTTATCTTCTTGAAAATTTTCAAACCTTCGAAATATAAATGGAAGCTTCCTCCGGGCCCACCAAAGCTTCCAATCATCGGAAACTTACACCAACTCCAAGAACTACCTCCCAGGAATCTCTCCCACAAATACGGGCCAGTGATGCTTCTTCGTTTCGGATTCGTCCCCGTGGTCGTGATCTCATCTAAAGAAGCAGCAGAGGAAGTTCTCAAGATCCATGATCTTGAATGTTGTAGCCGACCAGAGACGGCCGGGACTAGAAAGATCTCTTACAACTTTAAAGACATCGGATTCGCGCCTTACGGTGAGGAATGGAAGGCCATGCGAAAGCTCTCGGTGGTCGAACTCTTCAACGCGAAAAAACATCAGTATTTTAGGTCAATCAGAGAGGAAGAGAATGACTTGTTGGTCAAGACACTAACAGAATTGGCTCTGACACGATCCCCAGTGAATTTGAAGAAGACCCTTTTCACTTTAGTCGGGAGTATCGTGTGTAGGATCGGATTCGGGCTAAATCTTCATGAGTGTGAGTTCATCGATGAAGATAGCATCTCTGATCTTGTTGACAAGTCAGAGATACTTGAGATGACTTCTATGTTCTCTGATTTCTTTCCCGGAGGAATCGGTAGATTCATCGATTGGATCTCCGGTCAAAACAAGCGGTTCAATAATGTTTTCTCGGACCTGGACACTTTCTTTGAGAACATTCTTAATGATCATCTTAAGCCTGGAATAGTAGAGAGCTCTGATATTATCGACGGGATGATCAACATGATGAAGAAGCAAGAGAGAGATGGAGACTCTTTCAAGCTCACGACGGATCATCTCAAAGGGATGATCTCGGTAATGTTTTGGACCCTTTTAGTTGTATAGACTAATCTTCCATTTTTGATTAAATTCGTATTAACACACTTTGTATTATGTCAGGACATATTTATAGCTGGAGTTAGCACAAGCGCCTCCACACTGATATGGGCGATAACCGAGTTAGTAAGAAACCCTAAAGTGATGAAGAAAGTGCAAGACGAGATTAGGACAACACTCGGAGACAAAAAGGAGAGAATCACAGAGCAAGATCTCACCAAGCTTCATTACTTCAAGCTGGTGGTCAAAGAGATATTCAGATTACACCCAGCAGTTCCATTTTTGCTACCAAGAGAGACATTGTCTCATGTCAAGATTCAAGGCTACGACATTCCCGCCAAAACCCAGATCATGATCAATGTCTACGCGATTGCTCGCGATCCAGAACTCTGGATAAACCCAGATGAGTTTAACCCTGACAGGTTTCTAGATAGTTCCATAGATTACAAAGGACTAAATTTTGAACTGTTACCGTTTGGGTCTGGTAGGAGAATCTGTCCAGGGATGACAATGGGAATCACACTTGTTGAGTTGGCATTATTGAATTTGCTTTACTTCTTTGATTGGGGTTTGCCGGAGAAGGAAGAAGTCGACAAGATCATCACCGACAATGAAGTTGCTCTTGGCCTAGTTCAAGTTCTTCTCCACTGAAAATCTGATAGATGTTTTTTTTTTTTTTTGGTTTGTAACATATTTTTTTTGTATTTGGTTATTGAATGTTTGTGTTACATTAACCTTGCTTTCCGTCAGAGACATTCTGTTTAAGTAACCCTAATTGACATGACTAAAGGACCAAATGTTGTCATAGCTAGGCTTAGCTATCCTATGAAAAAAAAATGTTCCAATATAATTCAAAGCCTAGAAACTTAATAACCCAAACCAGCCGAAAAGTTTGAACTGAACCGGAATTTTTTTCCGAATGTTCAATTCTACTACGTAGAGTGGTACAATAGTATAATGACTTTTTCTACGAGAGAGGAAGACATAAAGCCAGGGTAATTAATACATGCAATATGGAACTCGGAGTTTGATTCGTCATTTCAAAGCAAAACACACTGTTTTGTTTTGTAACTTTGTTTAACTTTAAGAGTGTTACCTAATTTCTACTTCTCCCGAACAATGTAAATTTTATCACAAATTAAATATGTATAGACCAGGATAAAAGTAAAAGTTCATGTAGAAAAAAAAAAAAAGTTCATGTAGAAATATTCACATAATAGTTCATCGAGGGAAGGATCGTTTTCCTGTTTTTTTTTTTTTTTTTACTTGTAATGATTGTTAATGTAATAAAAACGGGTTCCTTCAACATCTAATTAGTAAGAGCATCTTCATTAGACAATTCTTGATGGTGTCTTTAGTATAAATTAGTAATAAAATTAAAGACATTTCCTTTTTTGGGTATGTAAAATGTCTCTAGGAAGACACAAATCTATAATTAAAGACACTCTTTACTTTGTTTTTATATTTTTATTAATTTTATATTTAAAAACACTCACAAATAAATGACTAATGTGGGTGCTCTAAAGATAGTCAGCTTTAAAATAGTCGACTTGATTAACTTGCAGTTTGCACTATTGAAATTAAAGAAAATGTTGACAAATTCTTAATTGTACAACAAGAGGTATATATTTTATATAGTTGGTAAAATATTCAAGATCACAACTACAGGGTCATTAATGTTGTGTGTGTCTATCAATTGTGGACACCCAGAGATGTCTGTGGCGGCGAAAGAGGGCGATACTAGGGTTTTGAGTGTGGGGGACCAAGATGCGACCATGGAGGATATTGGGGACAAAGGAAGGCCACCGGATCCCTCAGGATCGTGGGTGGGTAAGGTGAAAGGTAGCAGCGTGAGTGGGAGACTGATTCCGGAGGAGGTTTTGGATGATGGGTTTGTAACGGAGAGATTGCGCTTGGAGTTCCCAGATGGGGAAGATGGGGAACCAGTAATCACGATAGGGAAGGAAGTTTTGGATGTTATGAATGGGTTGTGGAAGAGGTGCATGATAGTCAAAGTTTTGGGAAGGAAGGTATCAATTGCGGTTTTGAACCGAAAGCTACGTGAGTTGTGGAATCCGAAAGGAGGGATGTATGTCATGGATTTACCAAGACAATTCTTTATGATCAGGTTTGCAGAAGATGAGGACCATATGACAGCTTTGACGGGGGGGCCATGGAGGGCGTTCGGAAGTTATCTTATGGTCAAGGCTTGGTCGCCGGAATTTGATCCCCTTCGAGATGAGATCACAACAACGCCGGTGTGGGTTCGGATATCTAACTTACCGGTGAATTTCTATCATCGATCAATTCTCATGGGGATTGCAAAGGGATTGGGTAATCCGATTAAAGCTGATGCAACGACACTAAATTTTGAAAGGGCGAGATTTGCTAGAGTTTGTGTAGAGGTCAATCTTAAGAAGCCGCTCAAAGGAACAGTGATGATAAATGGGGAGAGGTACTATGTTGCGTATGAAGGCCTGAGTAATATCTGTTCATTATGTGGTTTGTACGGGCATTTGGTTCATGCATGTCCAACGGTGGCAAAGGAGAAAGTTGCTGTCACGCCGACACAAGATTTAGCTGTTGTTGCCAGTACGAGTGGAAGTGTTCAGTTGGATGATGGCTTCACGCCGGTGCGTCAATGGAGAAGGAAACCAGAATTTCAGAGGAAAACAGTGTCTCCGGCGGTGAAAGGAGGCGGAGGAGAGCGGGGTAATAATTCTCGGGATTCTGGTGACATGATCGGAGATACGGGGAATATTCGGGTATCGAATAAATTTGGAATGTTGGAGGAGAATATGGAATCCCTGGAGTTAAGGGAGGGAGTTATGAGGAATGATGCGAATAAGGAAAACGAAAATACGACAAATCAGGTTCAAATCGGGCAGAGTGGCGCGCAAGCTAAGTTGGTGTTTGGTGGTAATATGGAGAAGGCCCGTTTAGGGCCCACTGAAGGATTTAAAGAAAAAAGGAGGGGAGGTCTTAAGGGGCTGGATACGAATGTGGTTAGGCCCAAACAGGCAAGAGTAGTAAAGCCCATGAGGGGATTGGTGTTTGGCCCATCAAAGGAGGAGAAGGTAATGTTAATGAGTGGAAAGCGTTTAAGAGTTGAGAAGGCGAACGTTGGGCGACCTGGTGGGTACTTTGCTACTAGGATGATTGATAGCAGAAATGATGGGGTCTTGGAACAGGCTGGGAAAGCTGTGATTCCTGGAAATGATGTTGAATCGGGTGGTGGTCCGACGAACACAGAGATGGTTATACACAGAGATCCTTTGGTGGAGGACACGGGAACTCATGGTGTATAACAATTTGCCCCGGCTTTTCTATTTGAGATTAATAAATTAATGATGAATTGCATCATGTGGAATTGCCGGGGGGCGAATAAACCCAACTTCAGACGATCAATTCGATATCTACTGAAGAAATTCAATACGGATATACTCGCAGTGTTTGAAACTCACGCTGGTGGTGATAGAGCTGGCCGTATCTGTCAGGGTTTGGGGTTTGAAAACAACTTTCGGGTAGACGCAGTTGGTCAAAGCGGAGGGTTGTGGATATTGTGGAGGTCGGGAATAGGAGATGTTGAGGTGGTTGATTCATCGGAGCAGTTCATACATGTCAAGGTTGGGAATGAAACAGAGACATTGGATTTAATTGTTGTGTATGCGGCGCCAAGTGTTAGTCGTCGGAGTGGTCTATGGGGACAGTTGGGAGATGTGATTAGAGGTGTTAATGGACCAGTTATAGTTGGCGGGGATTTTAATACGATTGTCCGAATTGGCGAGAGAACTGGTGGCAATGGCCTCTTGTCACCAGATTCTTTAGCTTTTGGAGAGTGGATTAATGAGCTTTCCCTAATCGATATGGGTTTTCGAGGTAACCAATACACTTGGAAGAGAGGAAGAGTGGAGACTTCTTTCGTGGCCAAGAGGTTAGACCGTGTATTGTGCTGTCCGAACTCGCGACTGAAATGGCAAGAAGCTACTGTTACGCATCTTCCTTTTCTAGCGTCGGATCATGCTCTGCTTTATCTGCAATTGTCACCGACTACAGAGACTAATGCAAGTAGAAGACCATTCCGCTTCAAAGCGGCTTGGTTAACGCATCCTGGGTTTAAGGATCTTGTGTCGACATCATGGGATAGAGCAATGAACACCCGTGAGGCGCTGATCAGTTTGCGTAAGGTATTAAAGAAATGGAATCGAGAAGTTTTTGGGGAGGTGCAGGTGCGGAAACAAAAACTGATGATGGAAATAGAGTTGGTGCAAGATTCACTTGATCATAACCAGACGGATGCACTCTTGCGGAAGGAGGAAGAGTTGCTCAAAGAGTTTGATGTAGTCTTAGAACAGGAAGAGCTGATATGGTTTCAAAAATCAAGGAAGAAGTGGGTTGTTCATGGTGATCGTAACACAAGCTATTTTCACACATCAACGATTATAAGACGACGAAGAAATAGGATTGAGATGTTGAAAGATTATGAGGGAAGATGGATTTCTAATGGACAGGAACTTGAGAAATTAGCTGTTGCGTATTTTACACGGCTTTATTCTCTAGATGATGTGGACCAAGAAGTGAATAAATTACCACAGGGAGGCTTTGTGTCTTTATCAACAGAAGATCAGAGTGTGTTGAGTAAGCCTTTTACTGCGTTGGAAGTTGAAACTGCAATTCGAAGTATGGGGAAATTTAAAGCGCCAGGCCCGGATGGCTTTCAACCTGTTTTTTATCAGCAATGTTGGGACGTAGTCGGAGAGTCGGTGACTAAATTTGTTCTTGATTTTTTTTGTGACGGGACAGTTCCCAGTGGATACAAATGATGCGATTGTGGTCTTAATTGGTAAGGTGATGAAGCCGGAGAAAATTACTCAATTTAGGCCGATAAGCTTGTGTAATGTACTCTTCAAAGTCATTACGAAAACAATGGTGGGGAGATTGAAAGGCATTATGATGAAGTTGATAGGGCCTGCGCAGTCGAGTTTTATTCCGGGAAGGTTGAGTACGGATAATATTGTTGTGGTACAAGAGGCGGTTCATTCTATGAGGCGCAAAAAAGGAAGGAAGGGTTGGATGCTTCTTAAACTTGATTTGAAGAAAGCATATGATCGTATAAGGTGGGACTTCCTAGAGGATACCTTGGTTGCGGCTGGACTCTCGGAGTTGTGGGTGAGTTGGATAATGAGATGTGTTACGGGTCCATCGATGAGTTTGTTATGGAATGGTGAGCGAACAGATTCCTTTAAACCATTGAGAGGGTTGCGTCAAGGTGATCCTCTATCTCTGTATTTGTTTGTCATGTGTATGGAAAGATTATGTCATTTGATCGAGCAATCAGTTGCTATTAAAGATTGGAAGCCGATAAGTTTGTCACAAGGGGGCCAAAGCTCTCCCATATATGTTTCGCAGATGACTTGATTCTGTTTGTTGAAGCATCCGTCTCACAAATACGGGTGATAAGGAAGGTTTTAGAAAGGTTTTGTACGGCCTCGGGACAGAAAGTGAGCCTAGACAAGTCTAAAATATTTTTTTCTGAGAATGTCTCTCGGGACTTGGGAAGAATGATTAGCAATGAAAGCGGGATTAAGTCGACAAAAGAATTGGGAAAGTACCTTGGAATGCCGATTATCAGGTTGGAGAGGGAGAATGTTGAGCTTCGCTGGTAGAATTACTCTCACAAAATCTGTGTTAGTTTCGATTCCGGTGCACTCTATGAGTACAATCAAGCTTCCTATGGCGACATTGAATGGACTGGATAAAGTGTCGTAGGATTTT